CGAAGGAACTAAAATTTAATTCAATGTTTTATACCCAACCCAAAAAAGGATTTTCAAATTCTTTAAGAAAATTCATTCTACTCTCCGGAAATGCTGCAAATCCATTCAATTATAAGGATTCAGTAGTTTTTTAAATGTGTTGATTTTTTTTATACGGACTGGGGGTACCTTTCCAAAGAAAAAAGGACGTAGAACAAAGATATTATTTTCCACAATCTTATATTTTTCCATACATGTGTGTGTGAATCTTTGTCTGAGAGTGTGTAAGGGGGGGGGGGGTTTAGAGGGACACAACCCTGGAACCCCCCCCCCTTTCAAAAATTGCTGGATCCGCCCCTGTGTTCATATGAAGGCATTCAAAAGTAGTATTAAATTCAAGCCCCCCCCCCCCCTCCTTTCAGTAAACTTTTCAGTTCTGATCTGATTTGTGTTTTTTTCCTAGCCGATTTGTTCAGGTGAGCGATGTGGCCCTTGGGCCTCTTGTTCAAAATTGAACACGGAATTTTCAAAGTTCTACACCATCGATTTCAACGGTCCACGGCGAGTGTGACAGGTCAACAGAAGATGCTTACTCCTTCTTGGCTGCTGACCCTACCTCTGGAATTTTCTGGGGTCCTGTTCTTCATTCGTCACATAAATTGTAGACAATAAAACAAAATTTTAAGTTAATGTTTAGATATTCTTAGTTACAATTTCTTGTACGATATTTTACCGGTGTGTTTGATGAGTTTACACATCCACAGTCATTTAAATTCACACAACGATTTAGAAAGTAATGTACTTATTAATAAGTTCTGAGTACTGTAAACCGGCCTCACCCCGTTAATTTTCTCAAATCCAATCACCCAGAGGGCGTACGTAGCAATTAATGAAATAAAAGGATATCATTAACACTTAAGATTTTTAAGATATATATAAGGTTATATGTATAAGACGCAATGTAGGTGGAGAATATACGGAAACACTTATATTAATTTAATCCATTCTTTTAAAACGTGAGTTAACATCAAGTACACACTTCAATAGTTGTCAAGTATTTTAACTTAGACAATTTTCCATCATGCAGTCACAAACTTCATACATTTTGTCTGAAGCTATTCCGGTTCATTATCTAATGATCCCCTCAAATAGGAAACTCATCTCAGCGATGAACTGAGAAGCTTGTTCAATGTCTATAGCACGCGGGTTTAAGAAAATCATTTTTTTTTATTCTTAGCCTGGTTCTCTCGTTTTTTACTTTATTACTGATCATACGAATAAAAACCGTCTGTATACTTAAAATATTTGATCAATTTAACTTCGTAAAATTCAAAGAATAAGAGCTGCATTTTTAAGAATTTTAATTTAATATGGGGCTATGAAAATCTTGATATTATTTAACGTTTGCATCTGAAGTTTTTAAAGTTTGTATTTAAAAGCTTCTTTCCGGCCCGCCAAATAAAATTGTAAATGTTTTATACAAGCATATGTTTAAACAGTATTGTGATGGAAACTTAACAATCCCATGATTAGATTGTATACAGAAAATATGTAATATGTGTGGTTTATTAAATGTTTGGTACGAACAGGCTGTCAATATTAATTGTAAATGGATGCAAACCATTGTAAAACAAATATTACAAGATCAATTTACTATAGTATTCAAAAGTGGTCTAGTGACATAATTCTTCAAAAGGGCAGATCTACAAAATCTTTAGATAAAACTTTGGATTAGAACATTATTGATAAATTATCTCCTAAATTTAAAAAAAAATATTTATAAAATTTCGTACTGCAAATTATTAACCAGTAGAGACTGGAAGATGGCATGGTATACCGCTGTGTAATAGAATATGTATACTCTGTAACAGTACTCAAACTGCTGATGAATTTCATTATTTATTAGAATGTAAAACCTTAGCTAATATTAGAAAAAAATTACCTGGGTTATTATTATTCACACAAATCAAATGTTATCAAATTTACGGAACTAATGTCAACCAAAAGTGAGAAAATGTTGAAACATTTATGCATGTTTATTCTAAAAATTTACGATGCTGTCTCTCCTCCTTGATATATTTTCCCTCTCATTTTATCGAACTCTTTCCTATTTTATTCATATATCATCCTTTTGTTATATAGAAATTATGTTCCTCTGACCAGTTTGTATATATATTGTATATATATGGCACGCCAAATTCACAAAAATGAGCTAATCATAGTTTCACAGTCGATAAACTAGGTTTATCGGTTGTAAACTATAGTTTACGGACTGTAAACTATAGTGTTGTGAGATGTGTATTGTTTCATTATGTATATAATTAGTAACATTAAGTTTCTTGAACATTCCAGAGTGGTCAACATGTTCGGTCATTTTATCTAGAACATTCTTAAATTTTGTGTATCTCCAGATTGTTCCAGTAATATCATGTTTTAACAATTTCGAATATTCTAGATTTATATTACTGTATAAATACCCTGTCAATTCGATGCATAGAGATACAATACTTTGTCGTATAAGCACTAATGAGATATAAATGGGACTGGGACATTGTGTGCAGCAACGGACACTCTGATGTATGTATTTTTAGATTCTTGCTAAGTTTGTACTTTATGTTTGATATATTTATTATATATTACTGTAAATAAATTATTGTTAAGTTTAAATTGTGTTATTGATCTTTGCTGGCATTTCGGGTAATTCTGACCCATAACAATAGTTAACAACGTTAATCTATATTTTACATCTGTAAACCATAGTTAACGCGATAATCTATGTTTCACTACCGTAAACTATACTTAACACCGAAAACGATCATTTGCGATTGCAAAACATAGATTATCTGATAAATATAGTTTCACGATTTGTAAACTATAGTTTACAAACCGTTAACTATAGTTAACGATCTGATAAATATAGTTTCACGATTTGTGAAACTATGATTAACAACTCTTAACTATAGTTTACGATTGTAAACTATAGTTTAGAAACGTGAATCTATGTTTATCAACAAAATCTATTGTTAACGCTTTATTCAGACAGATAAACTTAGATTAACATTAATAAACTATAGTTAACGACCGTTAAATATAGTTTTACAGATGAAAACTATACTTAACGAATCGTTAACTATAGTTTACGGTTTGTAAACTATAGTTTACAGTCGATAAACCTAGTTTATCAATTGTGAAACTAGGTTTATTTCATTTTTGTGAATTTGGCGTGCCATATATATATATATGTCATTTGTATAGTGTCCCGATAGGGCCATTGCAATAATGTATAAACGCATTAGAAACAACACGCAAGCGCGTTAATGACAACGCGCAAGCGCGACAATGACAACGCGCAAGTGCGTTAATGACAACGAGTTGTGTGTTAGCGTGAGGCCGTGCTTGCCTGTTGTTATAATACAACGATAGCGTATTCTCATTAATACAACAATACAAGAATACAACAATACAGAAATACAACAATGCAAGAATGCAACAATACAAGAAGGCAACAATACAAGAATACAACAATGGGGTATCGTCATTAACGCGCTAGCGCGTTGTCATTAATGTGCTTGCGTGTTGTTAGAATACAATACGCAAGTGCATTAATGTCAACGCGCTAGCGCGTTAATGACAATGCGCTAGCCCATTGTTCACAACACGACTTTGCGCTAACACACAGCTCTTTGTCATTAACGCGCTAGCGCATTGTCATTAATGCGCTTGCGTGTTGTTTCTAACGCGCTAATACACTTTTGCAATGGCCCTATCGGGACACCATAATTTGAACCCCATGTACCAATCTTGGTTTGGGTGAATAAAATGAACTTGAACTTGAACCGATTAAATGTGTTATGATATTTTTTTATGTAAATTAAACCTTTATGCTCAATTAGACGAAAATAAACTTAAGTATTAAACTGTTTCAGAAGAAAGACCACTGTACAATCAATCATATAGCATTATGTAAGAAATCAGTATTGTACAGGACAACAATAATGTAATTTTGCTTCAATCATTGCTTATAAAAAGTTCTTCTAGATCGCAAATATGAACAACAGAAGATTATAAATATTCTTTTTCTCTGTTCTTGATATAGTTATGTACGGTTTTGATATAAAAATTTCCACATCAAAATTGCAGCTCATATTGCTTTAAAAAAAATAACAAGTATCAGATGAATCTGATTTACTGTCGAGTTTTCAAAAAAAAAAATTTATTAAAGTAAAACTATCTCTAGTTATAGATAAATTTAAACTGAAGTTTTAATGTTTAAATGTTAACACTACATAAACATCAAACTTCCGCTAGAGTTTGTTTGTACCAATATTAAACTGAGTGCGGAGAGGCAGAGGACTATGAGTAGTTTGGTTATACATTTTACATGTAGTAATGTACATGTATTATGTACTGAACAAAATCCTGGAACGTGACATGCAAATGTTTAATGTCACAAGGATATATTAATCAACAGACAAATATTAGAATTCAGTTTCTAATCCCTTCATGAAATAATCAATTAATTGGTTTACGGCCGATTTTTGACGCTTGCGTCAATATGTTTCTTGTTACATATTTGTTATATTACACATAGTGAATAATACATGGCAAAATCTGTATCACATCCCATATCAACCCAAGACTCCAATATCGGCCCTCGGGCTGATATAGGGCCACTCGGGCTATTGTGACATATGATATGGATTTAAGTATATAATATTCTCTATATATAATCTGGAAGAATTATTGGCTGAGGGGGGGGGGGGGGGGGTAGTAGCTAAACTTCCGACTGAAATAACTTGTGTATTAGACACTCTTTTCCCAAACCGTACGGAAAGTGACACAAGAATGACTTAACTCCTTACAAGTCAAAAAGTATAGTTCAGTGCTGATGTGTTGTGTGGTTATAAAATTGTGGATGTCGAACGACTGCCATACATGTCCAGTACATGCATCATTGCAACATAAGGAAAAATTAAGTTTGAAATGGGGACTTCTTTAAATGTGTTTTATTTATCCCGTATGGGCCTCGCTAGTTTCTCGGCTATAATCAGTTGATGTGAGCTTGGTGCTACATTTTCTGCATCACCGGATAATATCACACTATACATGTATAGGATTTTCACAATGGCAACAATTTTACAAGTTATGGTATTTTGTTTTTCTTATAGTATTTTTGCCTCAGCAAGTCACTCAGAAGTGGGTAAGTATTGATTTTCTCATTTCTTTTTCATTTTTTATTTTATTTTGTCGGAAAGATAAGCTTCAATATTTGATTGTTAAATCTCCCTGAAAAATTGAAAAGTTTTAATTACAGGAAAATGGTGTAATTATGAAAAAAGAAAACATTTATTTTATTGTATTTGCGTGAAGCTTTCGACATTTTTTTTTATTTTGTCAGCACAATTATTATCAAATCAGGCACGTGATATATCATATATATTTTTTTTATTTTGACAGCAGGGAAATAAAAACTGAATTCGAAGTTGCCTTATGTATTGTGACACATGAACAAAACGCAAAGCATGGAAGATTTTTATGCTATGTTATCAATGGATTTAGTATATATATACCGGTATTATATATTTTTAAATGATTATATATTTCCTTGTATTGAAAAGAAAATCAAACACCGTACGTAAGATATATTATTCAAACAGTTTTGTGCATCATACTACAACTGAAGGTATAATCTGACCAGAACGTATGAACGGTTACTAAAGACAGCCTTAAGGCCGGATACTTAATGTCGGAGCGGATCCCAGACAAGCCCATCACTGTCTTTTCTCGTTATTCCTCAGAAATCTGATCCCAATCCTGTATGCTCCTGCTACTTTATATACGTCTTTTTTTTAATATTAACATAATTAACGTTAGCAAAAAGGAATTTTATTATTTGTCATTGTGCGACCTTCATTGATAATATAACCAATCCCCTCCCCCTTCTCCCATCACACTCGAGCTAAAATTAAGAGATTCTTCTCAGATTGTGTTCCCTATGATGATAAGAAAGCCTCTATTAACCAGGCGTTAGGGGACTCATCTCGTAAATCAATAGATTTTTAGCTTCTCGGGCATCACAAGATTTTATTTGACCCCATACACGGATTTGTCTCCCGCTGAAGAGTCTGGCGTTGTAATAACTGTTAATAGAATTCGGGGGTTCATGCAATCGAGGAGAACGAAAGAACCCCCCCCCCCCCCCCCCCAAAAAAAAAAAAAAAAAAAAAACTCGTAATATCTTAATTTTACTTTAGTTTATTTTAGATAATTCTCAAAATCAAGTGCGACTTTTTTGCCGGAAAGTTTCTTTTTCCGGTGCTCTTACAAATTGACAGTTGATTATTGACGTTTTCCTAGTGGAAGCCGTTAGCAGTTTCGTTCTGCTTGCGTATCCCCTGTCATTCGAATGCTCCTTAACTCTGTTAACTCGCTTCTGAACAATAAAACAGCATTAAGATCTGTATGGGGGCATTTTGCACTAGGAAAACAAGACTGCCTGTGAAGTATCGCTGGCATTTAACGGACTCTTAAATGAGATTTCCACACTTCTGATGAAACACATGGCTTTCCAAAAAATTTCCGTGCCTTTGTTTTGAAAAAAATAACATAATCCTTCTCAAGGGCAAAAACATTATTTAAACCAAAAATTCTAACGAGACTGTAGCTCCAATGGTATATATTTATAATATGAAAAAAGACATATATTCAGTGTATCTATATAGTCTTAATCAGACAAAAATGTGTAGGAGCAGTAATATTTGTAGAAAAAAATCATTGAAATTTATTTATATGACCACAATAATACAATACAATCTAGAATTTAAGCAAAGTCTACTTGTAAACCAAAATTTATCAAATTGAACCAAAATGTGCATGAGGTACTGTATAGGGAAAAAGTAGCGAAAAAAATCTATTTTTGAAAGAATTTTCTAGATCAAAAAACCAATATATTTAAGGAATGAATTTAATAGCTACCCATTTTATACGGTATAAACTGGGTTGGGGCAGTTTACGCTTTAAAAGCCGCGGAGCGGTTTATAAAAAAGCGTAAACTGGGGGGGGGGATTCATTTGTTGTAAGAAAAGAAGATGATTTTAGTAACAAGTACAAAATACATTGTCAATTTGTACAAAATTTGAATGTAACGTCAGGCGGATTGATACGTTTTTGAAAAAAACAATACATTGAATTGTAGTTATATACCTTAGGATTATGTACTTGTGCAGTAAATTTTATTAAAATTTTATTGAAACTGGACCTAAACTACAAAAGACGTATAACGTTTTTTGAGAAATTTCAAAGCAATTTTTGATTTTTAAATTTGACACCTTTAAGAGGGGTAGCCTTTTGAACTCGTGTTTACATATTGACAGACAGACAGATAGACGACGGACACCTTTCCAATGCATTAACTCTTCTGGTTTCTGAACTGCTCTTGTGAAAGATGGGGTGGGGTTACTAATAAGTCTGATTTTCACCAGTACATGTTAATTGTAACGTGAGTTGTTTTTTTTTAATTTTTAGCTTGGACCTATGGGGAGACAAACGGTGAGTTAATTTTTAAGATTATATATCTATATATGTAGTAGTAGTATTCCTGTGTCTTTATGGACCGACGCAAAATTTCGTTACGGTACACAACAGGTAACAACGATTTACCCTTAAAAATTAAATTATTTTTTTGAAATTGACAAGCAAAAAGAAAAAAAAAACCTGAATCATTAGAACAATAATGGGCCAAGATAGGAATATAAAATCCAGTCGTTGGCACCTCATACACAATAAAGATGCATGGGGTTTTTGGTGCTAGGGTCCACTCCTTGGAGAAAAACATTCCTAGATCCGCATAATATTATGTATTTGCCACACGTATAACTTAACAATTTTATATGGGTAATCTCAATGTATTTAACGACTATATGCTTAAACAGCACATGTTTAGAAGAAGATTTTTAATTTATTGGGGGGGGGGATAAAATTTTGAAGTATCGTTATTTTTCTTCCATCATATTCAATTATAATTAATGAACAGATGAGAAGATCAAGTTTAATTGAAACTACAATTCTGACTTTTTTATTAGAAAAAAATAAGTTAACATATTCATTGAATAAAGATATACACAAATGATTGTAAAAAAGAAAATAATGTTGCCATATACTGAGGTAGATTGCGTCTGATAGATATTGCCTTATAGTCACTTTTCATCGGCGTTAACAAAGTGTGACAAAATATAACAATTAATTTACAATTTCTCGAGACATTTCTAAATATCTTATCTCTAATGTCAAAAACCATGGGCCACATGAAAATATGATATACGTTATCTATGATTAAATAAAGTGTGTTTTATCGGGTGTAAAGGTGACTTTGGTGTCGTACGTTAGAAGTAATTTTTTCTGCTTTAATCCTTAATCATGAATCACATTAAAAATAACCTTGATTGAAATCAAGGGCGAATCTAAAATTTCAGGTTGGAAAAGATGAAATTTTGATTATTTTAAAAGAAATAGTAATACTTTTTGGCAGCATTTTTTTTTTCGTTTGTGAAGTAATGGAATTAGGATAATACCATTTTGTTGATCTCAGACCTCAAAAGAGTTTTATCCGGCCTCCGTTCGTTTGTTGATTTCTCACACCCACGAATTGATCCTCAGAATCACTGCATGATCATTTTGTACCAAGATTGGTACGAAGCATCCTAGGATAATGAGTTTTAAGTCTCTTCAAATAAAGGACCGCGCCTTCTTGAAAGGGGAGATAATCAAGAAAAGACAAAAAGTAGGTTTAGTCATCAAACATTTTCTCAATAACTGTACTGAGCAGGCAAGATGAAACTTGTGAAATAATTTTGACATATAAAAGACATATTAAAGATTCGGGTTTGCATGGTAGTCAAAATCATGATTGTTTTGGATAGAATGGGGCCATTGTGAAAGATGTTTACAGTTTTTTTTTTAAATACAGCCCCTACGGGTAAGGGGGTTTAATAAAAAAGAGTCAAAGTTAACATGGGAATATGCTCTAGATAAATCTCCAAAATATTCCTTCTTACAAAAAGTAGGGACTTGCGTATTAACCTTAATAATCTGAGTAGATTCGATTCGGATTCTTGATTAAGGTAGTGAGCTGGTGTAGATACACTGGGATCAATGTCCTTAAGACAGCAGGGCCAATGTGACTCGTGTGAGCGTGATAGTCCATGTCAATAGGGTATTTCTTCATTTCCTAAATGTACAATGCTTGTAAATTTGTTACTATAATGCTTGTTGTTTAGCTTGCCTTCATATTCTTGCATTTGCTGGTCAATGTACGCGCAGCGTCAATATTCCGCAGCTGTCACTCACAGATGACTCTTACTTTGGAAGACTAGGGAATAATTTGTCAAAATAATACGGAAGCACTGAAAATATACGAGTTGACGATTGAAAATTTTCCTTGTATGTCGTCTATGGTGTATAGTGACACTGGGGAATCACATTACCCGGTGTCTGTCTGTCCGTCCGTCCGTCTTTGTGTCACTAATCTTCTGAATACACTGTTATCTCTCTTATCGGGGGGGGGGGGGGGTGGTATTTCACCTTTAAATATCTTTTATTACTGATTTATAGTGCCCCTAGCTTGGCTCTGACTTACTTTTGTCACTCATGCATAAATTGATCCATCCCATTATCTTTTGAACATTACGATATATGTGCATGTAGCATACCCGCCGCTTGTAAGTCGTCGCAAAAATTGACACTTTATTTTTGACCTACTAATAGCTAGAACTTGTATTTCATTATTTTGTACTTCTCGTTTTTAAACAATATTGCATGTAATTAATATAATGGGGGTAAGTTTACGTGCATCATTCAAGACCTAAGTTGGGGAGAAATCAAGTTTCAAAGAAGTTTAAATCTTTTCAATTCTATTTGTAATATTCTTTCAAGTATGAAATTCTTGTAATATTAAAGGTGCTCATGTTCCTTGAAACATATATACTTGCATTAGGGGTTGTAATTATTCTCAAGCCAAGGTCAAATGAGACAAACAGTGGAAATTAAGTATTTAGAAGCATAATATAAATCAGCTATAACCTAACGTCGTGTAACTTTTTTTACTTGACAGGCCCCGCTGAGTGGAGGAACTCTTATCCTATCTGTGGTCTCAACAGCCAGTCTCCCATCAACCTCCCAGATACCGGGGACATGACCTTTGACCCTAGTCTTAAACCATTCCAAATTTCAGGATTCTCAAACCCACAGGATTACAAATTAAAAATTAATAATAATGGTCACACAGGTATAACATGATGATACTATATTTAACTAACATACTAGTATTCGGAAAGAGTGAAAGTTCGCGGGAAAATATTAAGATATCTAAAACATAGTAAAATTACTTCCATCTTCTTTCTGCTCTCAGTACAAGTCAGCGTGGAGGAGGGAAATCTAACGGTGGAGGGAGGCGGACTCCCCGGGCGATACAAGACCGCCCAGTTCCATTTCCACTGGGGACGGGACAACACCCAGGGATCAGAGCACCAGAACAGAGGCACACTTTACCCAATGGAGGTAAGGGATATAGAAGGTACCCTCTAAGGTAAGGTATTCCAGCATCCCACGGTAGAATTTACCCAGTGGAGATATCGATATTATTACATATAGCGATTACCTTAATATAAGTATACCATATTACCTTATGATGGCATAGGATGGTCTGTATAGTGTTAAATTAACCATAGAAAAGGGTAAGCGAGAAACTGTGTAACGATAGATGTTATCATGAGGAGACAATAAATCCTGGTTTTAAATCACTGTGTTATTTTGATAAAAGTTAGAACTAAATTGTATGACGAAGGAAATTATTAAAGTTTTTCCTTCGTCAACTTTTCTAATTAATTTATTAAGGAAGTAAATATTCCGCTATCACCTGCATATGATATTTTTACATGTAACTTAATCGATACATAAGAGCATGAGTCCAAGTACGATCTATTTTTAATATTCGGGGCAGTCTACAGAGTGGCAAGTTAATGTTACAGATATTTCACGAACTCGTTTTAAGTCGACATATCATAAGTTCCATAGTCGTGATAATGACCTTGATAGGAAATTTTACCTAACACTTGGTCATGTTTTGGTTGATTTGCTTCATACTAATTGAATTATATCTTGACTTTGACTACGAAACGTTCCGTCTATACCTGGTCAGTACGTAGAGCTCACGGCGGCTGTGACTGGTCCACAGGGGATGTTTACTCCTCCTATAGGCACCTGATCCCACCTCTGATGTTTCTAGGGATCCGTCTTTTTAACAATCTTTACTGATTTGTAATATTTATAGTTTTTATTTTAAATAGACCATTCTTCGATTTCATTACCTTTTTCGTCTAATGATTTGCGTCTCAGTCACACTCACTGTCAACTTGAGCTCTCGGCTAAATGTTATTTCATCCTGATTGTTTAAGGCTGCACAGAGGTTTGTCTGGTCAGGACCCTTTCTTTGTATAGAATGAGGATCGAGTCATTCACCTTTTTAAAATATATGTATACTTTTATTGAGTGTTCTCAATATCGGGGGGAGGGGGTTAACCCTCGGGCAAATTGACACTTTATAACTTCGTCAATCGTTAGCATTATCTCAATGAAATGTGGAGGACTTAATTATGTTGAACACATTGGAATGAGTTGCGAGTCATTATTTGTTAACATAGAATTTGTATTAAACTTTTGGAAAAGTTAGGTGGAATTTTAAACAATTTGTTTAAATATCGCTGGCAATGTGTTTAAATTGTTTACACAGAATCAGCCTAGGAAAAAATGTTCGTTCGTGATTTGCACTAACTGTATATATGTAAATTGTGGGTGAAGAATTTTAACAGACTAAAATAGAAACGACACGAAGAGGGAAGTTCATTCATCAATTATTGTACCACTTGTATACCGGTATGTCAGACGTGACATACCTTCAGATCAATATGGGGGGGGGGGGATGTTCAAAGGCTATAAGCATAAGCATACAATTGCATTATTGTGTAGATAGAAAAACTATAATTAATTTATTAGTAATGTATTTTTATTTTAAAGTCTCTATACATGTATATGTTGTGACATTTTATTGGTGTACATGATAATATGGTGATTTTATTTGAACAGCTCCACGTGGTGAACTATAACGAGAAATACGGAAACTTATCGAACGCCGCCTCTCAGGAAGGGGACGGTCTGGCCGTGCTCGGTTTCTTCTTCGTGGTAAGGGAAATTCTGTATTCTAAGTAGAATGTTACAATGTTACTCGACTTCTAAATGCACCCGGAAAGAGATGATGAATGACATGTAAAACACTTCAAATGGACATAACAAAGGGTCACAGCGAAAAACAAATTGCTCGCGCGCTGAAATCAAAATGTTTTTTTTTCATTTCTTTTTTTTTGTTGTTGTTACTTTTTGTTTTCTTTTCTTTTTCAGCCAAATGGAAATACTGATAATAGCGCGTTAACCACTTTGTTGAATAAATTTAATGACGTAAAGACAAAAGGTAGGGAGCAGCTCTATTGAAGGAAAAAAATATTGATGTGTTTCTCTTTAATCATTTTAATCTGAAATATATTTATAAAATAATTATCAACACGATATATAATCAGGATTTAATGAAATAGGACAATTCTCATTTAACCGTGGACTTTCAGGTAGTCGTGGTACTCTCGTTGTTACTTAAATAGCGTCTTGAAATTTACACAAAAAAGCACATTTCACAACAACTCTTAAACTAATATAACTGACCTAGGTGAAGAAATATTGATATAGAAAGCACAAAGAAATTCACTTTACATGGATACCCACTTCCGCCCCAGCCTGGGGTTGAAATCTCGACCTTCGGAATCTGTCTCCTAGCAGTGCAGGAACAGCGCGCTAGACCGCTCGGCTATCTAGGCAAGTCAATAAACTTGCTTTCGATGCCGATGGAATTCTCGCGGCGCTGTCCTACACTACACGGTCATTGAGAATAGAAGTGAGATACAGTTATTTGGACATATATACAGTGTACATTCCGGCAAATGTCAACGGGTATGTCAATGATCCAATCACATCATTTCGTACGGCAGAGAGGTGGGGCCTAATACCTAGGTCACATTTAAGCCGATGGTCGGGCGACTAATTTTTTCTGGTCTTGTCGACTGAGAGAGCATGATCGGCCGACACTAGTATCGATCGACACAGAGCAGTCATATTAAGCCCTAGGAACACCGATGCATTAGATAAATAACACAGAAAATCTTCTTTTTTTTTTTTTTTTTTTTTTTTTTAGAAATCAGCAATATTTTTTCAAAGATTTATATTTAGATAGGTGACGTGAGTAATGTTTGCAAGGCAAAGTGGCATAATCTTATAAGATTGTGACTCAATGTTAAAAATGTGTTCAAAATTTTGTATAGAATTGCATAAACACGACAAATGGCGCATATGTAAGTAGCAAAGATTTCTTTATATCTTACGGATTAATTATTTATTTTATTTCCGTTTAAAAAATATTTATCAATCCATGCATCAAAATTCTGTTTGTGTTATGTATCCTTACTAAGTTAGATATTCACAAGTCGGCCAATCGTCGCCCGATTAACGAGCTCTGATCTACAATTTGATTTTAACCGTTGGTCGAAATTTTGGACACCCTTATCGTCGAATGACGGACGACCGATTTAATAAACTGACCGGCGATGGTCGGACGATGATCGAAGGTTGGTCGACGGATAACTTCAATTGAAAATAAGGCCACCGACGTAGAAAAATTGTAACTTGGTCCGATGGACACAAAATTTCGGCCGACAAAAAAAGAGGTCAAAATCGGGCAGGACAACGGCCGATGAACTGCAGACTGTCACCCGAAGAATCCCAATTTGCTTCAAAACCCGTCGGCCGTTGGTCGTTTTTGGAAATGTGACTGAGGTTTAAATCGTCTCATCATCGTTAACAACAATTTAAAGTTCCTGATGTTATTAATCTCTTATCCAATGAGAATCTATTCGCCAACTGAGAGACGTTAATTACGTACAGTCGAGAAAGTCCCGCCCTACTAAAAGTCCAAGGTTAACTGAAAATCGTACTAACGTGAATGAAATGGATTTTTTAGGCGCCGAATCAGAACTTACTGGCTTCAATATTGATTTAATGCTCCCATTCTCAAGCGGAAATGCTGATCGATTCTACAGATATTCCGGAAGTTTGACCACGCCTCCGTGTTATGAGAGCGTTGTATGGACTATGTTTGAGAGTACTATTCCAATATCCGATTCACAGGTAATCTTAATTAGCAATTCCTTGTCTTAATGTGACCTTTTTGTGAGATGAAACACAGATTCTCTCAGAGGTGTTTCAACTCTTTATGATTTGAAAATCATGCACACATTACGCTAAAAGTAGGTCACAACAACCTACTTTTGATTTGTATATGTATCAGTTTGATAGGTTCGTTAATTCTTCGTTAAGTTGCGAACAATGAATTATAAAATTGTAATTTTATTTTCTATGACACAGCTTGCTATGTTCCGGATGCTACAAGAGGATGATACACCAAATAGCGGTAACGTGATTGTAGATAACTTCCGGCCAGTACAGGCTCTAAATGGCCGCCAAGTGAGGAGAAGTTTTGCGAGTTCCGCTTCCGGTCTTCAGATTCCATTCTTAGCTCTGTTACTCGTACTACTACGTCTTCTTTAGAGTATTTACCCTATTTATAGATTATGTTTAATCAACCAAGTCTCTTTAATCAGCAGTGGTAAAGTATTTTCTAAAACACTGAACATACTTGTAGTTTATGTCCATCTTAGATATCCCCAGTACTGATAATTCATAAATGGCTAGGACCAGCTAATTTGATTATTTTTTTCTCAAGATATTAATCAATAAAATATGTTCTCAATAGTCATTGAAAGCAATAGTCATAAAATATACAGTGTTTTATGTGCATATTTGAATTATTTCTTTATTTTCTTTTTATTACGGGACCTTTCACCAAAATTGAAGAACTTCGAACTGTTTTTACATCATTGAAAACATTGAAGGACAAACAAAATTCAGTTATAAATGATTAGCATAAAATTAAGATCGGCGCTTAGTTTCTACACTCATTCAAAGATTTTTCTACCACCCACTTTTTTACATCACTAAATTCGTGTGAGACTGATTGATATGTATCGACTGTATGAACTCGGTGATCGAACCAACAAAACATTATCATTTAATTCATTTTCTGTTTTGTATGATTTTTTTCTCTTCAGAATATTTTATGTTTATATGTTCTATAGTGATAATAATGGGGCGGATCTATAAGAATGAGTGATAGTGCATGCATTGAATAACATTGTAGTTGTGATATACCTAAGTACACTGAATGAATATACAGTGTAAATGTACATCAATGAATAAAATATACAAGGAAGTGAGAAACATTTTTTATTCTTTTTTTTGTCTTTAGAAACCAACAACTATTGACCCTCTGACCTTGACCCTGGAGTTTGACCTACCATTCAAAAACATTTCCTTGGCCATAACAAATAAAGTGGTGTTAGGGCTTTCATATTTCACAATTGTGTTTCTTGTGAGAATACCTTCCTTTTGGGTAACAACATATTTAATTCATGTAAATTAGTTGAATCTGATTGGTCGAGAAACATTTGTTAAAAACAGTATTACCCGCTTAATAATGAAGCCACGGCCTCCAACGTAGCAACAGTCAACATTGCTTGACGACGGGTGATATTCCAAAAATAGCGACTGCGCAGAATTTATGCGCGCACGGTTCACTGTTATATGTATTTGTATAAAACATTCAGTATTAACTATTATTTGCTCAATATTATGTATGGTTTCTTATTAATTTATCAATATGATGATTTATAATTCATTATCTATTATTTGTTTATTGTTTATTGCTTTTTATGATTTTGTAATTATTATTTATGATTTTTTCATTATTAGCTATGCTAAGTGTTCAATAAATGTTCAATAAATATCTATGATTTGTTATTATCTATGATTTGTTATTATCTGTTACTTTGATTAAATCATCGTTCAATGTTATCTATGATTAGAGTTTATACAGTACATGCAGTATGTAAGGTCAGATCGAGATGACTGACCCCTGAGAGGTCTTTGTGATCTTGGTATATCAGCTAGACTCTCGCATGGAAATTATTTCGAAATGAATTTTTTGGAAGTTTATTTATTTTTTAACATAAACCGTTGACTTGTAGAACACAAGCATCGATACTAAATAGTGATACTGAACTCTGGGCTGATATTTCGATAACCCGTTAATACATGCTAGCCTTTAATCTAGATAAAAGTAAAACTAAGCAGTAAGAAGTACGCCAGATAAAATTAAATGTAATGAAACACTTCCTCATTGATGGTTTATCTGGGAAGATTTATACTCCAGTAATTACTTTGTTCTGTTTCCCTCTACATGGCTGTCGTGCTGTATCCGAGTAAAAATCTACAAATTAAGGACAAACATCAAATCATAATGCACATTATCAAAGCACTGGCCACTTCCCTTCCGAGCTAGATTTTCAAAAAAACACAACAAAATCATCCTGTATATCCGGAAAAATGTCAAACTGGAACCGGAACTTGCCGTAAGCTTGATACTTTTGAAAGACTTTAAAGAACAAACGTGTTGTGAACAGCTAGGAAAACACGAGAGAAAACACCCAAATTTGAGAAGTTTTCGTTTAAACCCTAAATTAAATATATATATATATAGGTACATTGGTTAGTTTTGCAGTGAATTCCCTTCACTTTTTGTTTTTTAATTAAATACAACGTGATTTAAGATATCTGACTGTGTTGTCAAAGAGAAACTGTCACTGTAAATTTACATGAGTAAACTTGATACTCTCTTTATCATTGGGACTATTTGATTTCTAATTTTTACTGAAAATTTCATTAATATTTTCAAAAAGAATCCCAGCAACAAAGTGGATGTTTTACTGACAACAGACAATAAGAACCAACCAACAACTACATAGATGGCTTCAGCGTCTGAACCTTTTTCCATTGCCAACATTTCTTATTTTTGTAAATTTAATTACTTAGTAATATTCCACTCTCATCTGAATGTGGTGCTAACGTCTCCCAATTTATTCTCAAAAACATGCTCTTAACGCCGTATGATCAATTTTCAAAGCAAGGGAGGGTACTGACAAATAAGATCAAGTTACAAGGATTTCAAATCCTCATTTGTATTCAGGATTCCCTAAATTCTACGGTCGTTATACTGAACTTGTTTACAAATATTACCTAAAATGTTTTTGGCGGACATGTTTCATACAAATTATTTGTTATTTGATTCTGTATTCAAAAATTGAACATGGAATTTTCAACATGTTCTACATAATCAATTTAAAAGGTTCACGGTGATTGTGACAGGTCAACAGGGGATGCTTACTCCCTCTTGGCTACTGACCCTACCTCTGGAATTTTCTGGGGTCCCGTTCTTGATTCGTCACATAAATTGTAGACAATAAAACTAAATTTTAAGTTAATTTTCAGACATATACGTAAGTACAATATTTCTTGTACGACATTTTACCGGAATGATTGATGAGTTTATACATCCACAATCATTTAAATTCACATAACGATTTAGGGAAGCAGTGACCTTAAGTTCTAAGTATTATAAACCGGCCTCACCCCGTTAATTTTCTCATATCCAATCACCTTTAGGGCGTATGTAGCAATTTATGAAATAAAAGGATATCATATACACTTAAAGTTTTCAAGTTATATATAAGATTATATATGTATAAGAAGACGCAATGCAAATGAAAAATATACGGAAACACTTATATTAATTTAATCCATTCTTTTAAAACGTGAGTTAACATCAAGTACACACTTCAATAGTTGTCAAGTATTTAACTTAGACAATTTTCCATCAGTCACAAACTTCATACATTTTGTCTGAAGCTATTCCGGTTCATTATCAAATGATCCCCTCAAAAGGAAGCTCATCTCAGCGATGAACTTAGAAGCTTGTGCAATGTCTATAGCACGCGGGTTTAAGAAAATTATTTCTTTTTTTTATTTTCTAGCCTGGTTCTCTTCTTTTTTTACTTTATTACTGATCATACGAATACCCGTCAGTACTTAAAATTATTGATCAATTTAACTTCATAAAATTTAAAGCAATAAGAGCTGCATTTTTAAGAATTTTTTTTATTATGGGGCTATGAAAATCTTGATATTGTTGAACGTTTGCATCTGAAGTTTTTAAAGTATGTATTTAATTTGAAAAGTTCCACGCCATCATACATGGTCTATGGTGAAACAGGTCGCTTTCCTTTGTATATCTCGGTGTATTGTAGAAAGATTTCTGATTGGGCAAAGGTTCTTTCCGGCCCGCCAAATAAAATTGTAAATGTTTTATACAGGCATATGTTTAACAGTATTGTGATGGAAACTTAACAAACCCATGGTCAGATTGTATACAGAAAATATGTAATATGTGTGGTTTATCAAATGTATAGTACGCTAGCGCGTTGTCATTAATGTGCTTGCTTGTTGTTAGAAAACAACACGCAAGCGCGTTAATGACAACGCGCTAGCGCGTTGTTCACAACACGACTTTCCTCTAATACACAACTCTTTGTCATTAACGCGCTTGCGTGTTGTTTCTAACGCGCTAATACATTTTTGCAATGGCCCTATCGGGACACAATACATTTGAACCCCATGTATCAATCTTGGTTTGAGTGAATAAAATGAACTTGAATTGTACTTGAACCGATTAAATGTGTTATTATGAAATTTTTTTTATGTAAATTAAACCTTTATGCTCAATTAGACGAAATAAAGTATTAAATTGTTTCAGAAGAAAGACTACTGTACAATCAATTATATAGCATTATGTAAGAAATCAGTATTGTACAGGACAACAATAATGCAATTTTGCTTCAATCATTGCTTATAAAAAGTTCTTCTACATCGCAAATATGAACAACAGAAGATTATGAATATTTTTTTTTTCTCTGTTCTTGATATAGTTATTTACGGTTTTGATTTTAAAATTTCCAACATCAAAGTTGCAGCTCATATTGCTTTAAAAAAAAAAAAAGTATCAAATGAATCTGATTTACTGTCGAGTTTTCAAAAAAAAATTGTTAAAGTAAAACTATCTTTAGTTATAGATAAATTTAAACTTAAGTTTTAATGTTTAAATGTTAACACTACTTAAACATCAAACTTCCGCCAGAGTTTGTTTGTACCAATATTAAACTGAGTGCAGAGAGGCAGAGGATTATGAGTAGTTTGGTTATACATTTTGCATGTAGTAATGTACATGTATTATGTACTGAACAAAATCCTGGAACGTGGCATGCAAATGTTTTATGTCACAAGGATATATTAATCAACAGATAAATATAAGAATTCAGTTTTTAATTGCTTCAGAAAATAATGAATTAATTGGTTTGCGGCCGATTTTTGATGCTTGCGTCAATATGTTTCTTATTACACATAGTGAATAATACATGGCAAAATCTGTATCACATCCCATATCAACCCAAGACTCCAATATCGGCCCTCGGGCTGATATGGGGCCACTCGGGCTATTGTGACATAAGATATGGATTTTAACCCCCATCCCCGCAATCACGCATTTTAACGCATATACCGTTGCCCCGCAATCACGCATTTTAACGCATTTTATACCTTTGCCCCGCAATCACGCACTTTAACGCACATTTCATTTTGACGTTTTTTGATCTGATTACACGTAAAGTTTTGATGGTATGATAATAAATTATTAGATAATAATTTTTGTAATTCCATTCAAATATATTTCGCAAATACGAATATTTTTCCTCAGTTTAATATGTCCGAGTCGTTCGATTTATTTGACGAAACTTGGGATCAGAGACAAATATTAACTAAGAATGTCTTTCTTTTGACACTAAATAAGCTCACCACTTGATCCACTGGTTTAGTGATGTGGAAGTCCCTCAATCTTGTGTGAAATGGAACCCTTGTCAGGAATTTACCAAATTCAACAAATAGTTTATTCGCAAGTGCGCTGCAGGGAAAAGGATAACGTCATCAAAAAGTAACAAATGTAATGCTACTATTACGTCACAGAGGGCGCAATAGACAAATATTTTTAAGGACTGAAGGTGCCGACAAATTGAATACCGCGCGTTAGCGCGGTATGATAATTTGTCGGCACGGCCAGGTGTGTTATAGGACCGAAGACATCCCAAAATATGAATTCAATGCTTATATTTACATTCTCTAATTTTTCTTTATCATAATTGTTTATTTCCTTCATGTTTAATGTGAATTTAGCGCCCTTCGGTATTGGTGTGCTTAATAAACGTAATAGCCGCTCGTGACGTTGGAAAGTCGTTTGTGACGTTGGAAAGTTAAATAACTCAAATAAACATTGCGAGGAAATAAAATGAAAAATTAGTTTTTAATGCACATTTGCTGTATTTTTATTTATATTAATCTTAAAAGGGTGGTTTTTTTATATTGAAATTGAGTCAAAACAATATACATTTTGGTATTCCTAAATATTGAAAATGCATGTAGTTCCTACTTTGTATTCTACCGCGCTGTGACAAGGTTTCTTCTACCGCGCTGTGACAAGGTTTCGCGTGTGTTATAGAAATTTCAACGTCGTGAATTTCTAATGGATTCCATAAAAAAAATTACACTGAATGTAAACATATAATATATGATATTCTTTATATATAATTTGGAAGAATTATTAGCTGAGGGAGGACGGGGGAGGGTTAGTAGCTAAACTTCCGACTGAAATAACTTGTGTATTAGACACTCTTTTCCCAAACCGTACGGAAAGTGACACAAGAATGACTTAACTTCTTCCAAGTCAAAAAGTAGTTCAGTACTGACGTGTTGTGTGGTTATAAAAATGAGATGTCGTACGACTGCCATACATTGCAACATAAGGAAAAATTAAGTTTGAAATGGGACTTCTAAAAAATGTGTTTTATTTATCCCGTATGGGCCTCGCTAGTTTCTCGGCTATAATCAGTTGATGTGAGCTTGGTGCTACATTTTCTGCATCAGCGGATAATATCACACAATACATGTATAGGATTTTCACAATGGCAACAATTGTACAAGTTATGGTATTTTGTTTTTCTTATAGTACTTTTGCCTCAGCAAGTGAAGTGGGTGAGTATTGATTTTCTCATTTCTTTTTTATTTTATTTTATTTTGTCGGAAAGATAAGCTTCAATATTTGATTGTTAAATCTCCCTGAAAAAAATGAAAAGTTTTATTTACAGGAAAATGGCCCTTACTATGAAAAAAAGAAAACATTTATTCTATTGTATTTGCGTGAAGCTTTCGACAGTTTTTTTTTATTTTGTCAGCACAATTATTATCAAATCAGGCACGTGACATATCATATATATTTTTTAATTTGGACAGCAGGGAAATAAAAACTGAACTAGAAGTTGCCTTATGTATTGTGACACATGAACAAAACGCAAAGCATGGAAGATTTTTATGCTATAGCTATCAATGGATTTATTATATATATATATATTATATATTTTTCAGTGATTATAAATTTCCTTGTAGTAATAAGAAAATCAAACACTATAGATATACCGATATTATTCAAAGAGTTTATAAATGCATCACACTGCAACTTAAAGTATAATCTGACAAAAAAGTATGAATGTTTACTACAGACAGCCTTAAGGAGTGATACTGCCACCTTAATGTCGGAGCGCATCCCAGACAAGCTCATCACTGTCTTCTCTCGTTATTCCTCAGAAATATGATCTCAATCCTGTATGCTCCTGCTACTTTATATACATCATTTTTTTAAAGAATATTAACATGATTAATGTTAGCAAAAAGGAATTTAATATTATTTGTCCTTGTGCGACCTTCATTAGTAATATAACGTAACCCCCCCCCTTCTTCTCTCATCACACTCGAGCTAAAATCAAGCCATTCTTCTCAGATTATGTTCTCTATGATCATGATAAGAAAGCCCCTATTAACCAGGCGTTAGGGGACTCATCTTGTAAATCAATAGATTTTTAGCTTCTCAGGCATCACAAGATTTTATTTGAACCCGTACACAGATTTGTCCCCCGCTGAAGAGTCTGGCGTTGTAATAACTGGTAATAGAATTCGGGGTTCACGCACTCGAGGAGAACGAAATGTCGCCCCAAAACTCGTAATATCTTAATTTTATTTTAGTTTAGTTCAGATAATTCTCAAAATCAAGTGATACTTTTTGCAGGGAAGTTTCTTTTCCGGTGCAATTACAAATTGACAGTTGATTATCGACGTTTTCCGAATTGAAGCCGTTAGCAGTTTCTGCTTGCGTATCCCCTGTCATTTGAAGGCTCCCTAACTCTGTTAACTTGCTTCTGAACTATAAAACAGCATTAAGATCTGTATGGGGGCATTTTGCACTTAGGAAATAGTCTGCCTGTGAAGTATCGCTGGCATTTAACGGACTCTTAAATGAGATTTCCACACTTCTGATGAACCACATGGCTTTACAAAAATTTCCCCTGCCTTTGTTTTGAAAAAAATAACGTAATCCTTCTCTTGAAAGGGCAAAAAAAAAAAAAAAAAGATTTGAACCAAAAATTCTAACGAGACTGTAGCTCTAATGGTATTACATTTGTAATATGAAGAAAGACATACATGCAGTGTATCTGTATAATAAGTCTAATCAGACAAAAATATGTAGGAACAGTAGTACTTGTAGAAAATCATTGAAATTTAGTTGTAGTGACCACGACAATACAATACAATCTAGAATTTTAGCAGTCTAGGTTTTAAGTAGCGTTTCGAAAGTGTTGGGGGAAAATTCTATTTTAAGTAACCAAGATTACATTGTCTCGATCAAAAAACAATATAATTATATTGATATATACCTTAGAATTAAGTAGCAAATTTTGTTTAAATTTCTATTGAAATTGGATCTAAACTGCAAAAGAGATACGTTTTAGAGGAATTTCAAAGTAATTTTGATTTGGTAGCGTTTTTAAAACAGATAGATGACTGGCTTCCCATATTTACAACTGCTCAGATAGATGTTACTGGCACCTTCCAATGCATTAACTCTTTTTTTGAACTGCTCTTGTGAAAGAGTCTGGGGTTACTAATTTCTTTTTCAGTAAGAAATTTTCATCAGTGCATGTTAATTGTAACGTGAGTTGTTATTTTTATTTTAGCTTGGACCTATGGAGAGACAAATGGTGAGTAAATTTTAAGATTATATATCTATATATATAGAAGAAGTATGCCGTTGTCTTTCTGCACTGACACATGATTTCAATTCGTTACGATATGCAACAGGTAACAACGATTTACCCTTAAAAAATAAATTTCTTTTTTAAAATAGATGAGCAAAAAGAAAACAAAATTTAACCCCTTATATTTACATTCAGTGTAATTTTCCTTATGAAATCCATTAGAAATCTACGACGTTCAAATTTCTATAACACACGCGAAACCATGTCACCGATTTTTATGAAACACAGTAGGAACTATATGCATTTCTATACTCTAGGAACACAAAAACATAAAATGTTTTATTTCAATTTAATGAAAAACTATAACCCTGAAAAATTAACTTAAAAATTAACGTAATGTGCATTATGAATTAATAGCCGGTTTCTGTTAATTGTCACTTTTTTCCTCGCAATGTTTGTTTGCGTTATTTAACTTTGCAACGTCATTTAACGTCATTTGAAACGTCACAATATGGCTTTACATCTATTAACCACGGCATTTGGTTTTGAAAAAAATCACATTTAAGATTAACGAAATAAGCAATTGTGAAGAAGGAAAATTAGAGAATGTGAAAATTTGACATTAAGTATATAAGTAAAAGCAATATTATTCTATAAATGCCGACTTTTATGGTTACCGCGCGGTATTCAAGTTTGTCGGCACGGCCAGGTGTGTTATAGTTAATGCTACTGTCTTGAGACATCCAAAAAACATGAAATTTAGCTTAATATAATTCTTACCAAAATAGTATCATAGAGAAATATTAAATTCAGTCAATTTCTAAATATCTTATCTATAATGTCAAAAACCATGGGCCACTTAAAAATATGATAGACGTTATCTATGATTAAATAAAGTGTGTGTTATGAGGTGTAAAGGTGACTTTGGTGTCGTACGTTAGAAGTATTTTTTTCTGCTTTAATCCTTAATAATGAGTAACATTTAAAATAACCTTGATTGAAATCAAAGAAGAAAACAAACTGTTTTGGTTACCAAGAAGGGAAAATTTCGATTTTGTGAATCTATTAAACATTTCAGGTTGGAAAAAATGAAATTTTGATTAATGTAAAAAAGGAATGTAGTAATTCTTTTTACGGGGATTTTCTATTCATTTGCAAAGTAATGGAATTAATCTTATACCATTTTGTTGATCTCTGAGTTCAGAATTCAAGAGCTATATCAGCCGGTTTCCGTTCGTTTGTTAATAGCCATTCTCTGTAACCACTTGAACTTCGTTGCCACGCATGGTCACCGATTTTTATGAAACTTCACCCATGCTTAGTACTTGGCACAAGAAACAAATATCAAACAAAATTTCGTTGCTAAGGGTCTTGGTTGCTATGGCAACAGCCGGAAAAGATTGAAAAATTGAGATTTTCAGCCACTTAAAATCTTGACTGTGGCTTAATAAAAACTAGAAAAAGCAAACAAACCATTCTCATAAAAACATGACACCTTGATGTCACTTATGCTGTAAAGAAACTGTTTAGAATATATCTCTAAGTAAGTGGTAACCAAGGGTACATTTGGAATACATTTAAAATGCTGAAATATGCCGAAAAACACTCCGTATTCATTAATGGTTGGTCTTACATGCTCAAACTCAATCAACGACTTAAGAAAAACAATGAAAATGTTTGACATTAAGTATATAAGTAAAAACAATATTATTCTATAAATAACTTTTATGGTTGCCATGGTTACACAGTGTAACCATGCAAAACCAGTAACTAAGATTGGGTTAATGCTACTGTCTTGAGGAAAAACATGAAATTTCAAGACTGGCAAATATACATTAAGAATTAAATTGCCATATAATCATGAAACAAATTAAAGGACTCAGCTTGAATAGTACTTATCTGTTAGAACTGTAGTTGAACATCATATATTGGTAAAATTTGATGAAGAAAACAACACTGTTGCTATGGTTACCAAGAAGGGAAAATGTTCGATTTTGTGAACTTTATATCAATATTAAACCCTGTATGACAACTTCTTGCATCCACTTAGAGATTGGATGATAGTCAAAATTAAAAGTCAGATTAGCTGTTCATAAATATCAATCATAAAAGTTTTGGGAATCTACATTTAAGGGTACGTATCCAAGGAAAGAAAATATTTTTTTAGCCCACCAACATCTTTAAAAATTGATCATTAGTTATGAGGAAATGTGCTTTTTTAAAAGATAGGATCAGATTTAAACATACAGAGTGTTACTTAGAAGGCTCTCTGTAGTATAAAAACCTTGGCAACCATTGCCAACCAAAATGAAACATCATATTTTGTTCTTGGTATATGTTTCAAAGCCCTTTTTTCTATTATTTGGTCACATTTCATCCTATAATTGTCTTTTATTTTTACGTGTATGACTTTATTTTTTTTTACTTTTGAATACTTTGTTACCATAGTAACGTATGTAATAGTTGATTTACCAAACATGCATTTCAGACATCTGACCTTCAACTTTTGGAAACAGTCATTGCCAATTGTTTGCTTTGCCGCAAATGTTAACTATGGGGCTCTAAACATGTTAAAAAATGTCATTTTTCGAACTTTAAGACATGTTGCCATGGAAACTATAAAACATAGCAACCAATTTTTGCCTGATTTCAGTTTAGGGTATCAATGACTTTTATCATAGAGAGTTTGGAGAAATGCTTAGACTATGCGTGCCACAGCTCCTATATAAAATTTCAAATCATTACAGAGAATGGCTCTTAATTCCTGACACTTACGAACTAGTCTTCAGAATAGTGGATGATCATTTTGTACTTGCTCGCTACAAAGCATCATTGGGGAATTAGTTTCTAAATCTCTTCAAATGAAGGACCACGCCTTCTTGAAACGGGAGATAATCAAGAAAAGGAAACAATTGGGTTGAGTTTTTAAAAATGTTCTTCTCAAGAACCACTGAGCAGGCAAGATGAAACTTATTAGATATTTTTCGACACATATTAAAATATTAAATATTCGGGTTTGTTAGTTAAAATCATGGTTGCTTGAGAGAGATAGTTATTTTCCCTTCAAAGTACAGCCCATAACAGGGATTTAATAAAAAGAGTCAAAGTTAACATGGGTATATGCAGCTCAATCTTCCCAAATGTTACTATGAAAAGTAGGGACTTGGGTATAAGTAAATTAAAACCGTGAGGTGGTGTAGATACACTGGGACCATTGTTCTGGAGACAGCAGGGCCAATGTGACTCGGATGAGCTTGATTAAGATAGTGAGGTGGTGTATATAGATACACTGGGATCAATTTTCTGAGGCCAGCAGGGCCAATATGTCTCGGGTGAGCTTGATGGTCCATGCCCTGCGTGTTATTTCTTCATTTCCTTTGTACAAATCTTGTACATTTGTTACTAGAATACTGTTTTTTAGCTTGCCTTTATATTATATTTGTTGGTCAATGTACGCAGCTCAGCGTCAATATTCCGCAGCTGTCACTCACAGCTGACTCTTATTTTGGGAGAACAGGGATATAATTTGTCAAAATAATACGGAAGCACTGAATATATATACAAGTTGACGATTGAAATTGTTTCTGAGTCGTGTATGGTGTAAAGCAACACAGGCGAATCACATTACCCGGCCTCTGTCTGTCTGTCTAGATGTCTGTCTGTCTGTCTGTCTGTTTTCAGTGTCACTAACCTTCTGAATATTTGGGGTCAATTATTCAAAGATTGGTCATCCTGATTTTCTTGTAAAGTTATCTCTCTTATCAGAGGGACATTTCTCCTCAAATATCAATTATTAATGATTTTTTAGTGACCCTAACTTGATTCTGACTTACTTTTTGTCAGGCTAATATATAGATTGATCTACCCCATTATCTTCAGAACCTTCTGATGTTGTACATGTAGAACATCCGCCGCTGGTACGTCGTCGTTAAAATGGACACATTAACCCTGAACATTAATTTAATTTTGACCTACTTATAACTAGAACCTGTATTTCATTATTTTGTACTTCTAGTTTTCAAAAAATATTGCATGAAATCAATATAATAGGATTAGTTTACATGCATCAAGACCTACGTTTGGGGAGAAATCAGGTTTCAAACGAGCTTCTTTTCAACTCAGTGTATTTGTAATATTCATTCAAGAGAGAAATTCTTGTAATTAAGGGTGACACGTCGTCTTGAAACATATATACTTTTATTAAAGGACTTACTTAGTCTCAAGCCAATTTTAAGGTGCATGAGAAAAAAACATTTGGATATTTGATTTATTTATTTAGAATCATAATATAAGTCAGCTACGAGTATAACCTGATGTTGTGTGATTTTTTACTTGACAGGCCCCGCTGAGTGGAGGAACTCTTATCCTATCTGTGGTCTCAATAGCCAGTCCCCCATCAATCTCCCAGATACCGAGGACATGACCTTTGACCCTAGTCTTAAACCCTTTCAAATTTCAGGATTCACAAACCCACAGGATTACAAACTAAAAATCAAAAATAATGGTCACACAGGTAAACATTTCATAGCATAACATGATACAATGGCTGTACTAGTATTCGAGAAAATTGGAAGTCCGCGGGAAAATATTAAGATACCTAAAACAGAGTAAAATTACTTCCATCTTCTGTCTGCTCTCAGTGCAAGTCAGCGTGGAGGAGGGAAATCTAATGGTGGAGGGAGGCGGACTCCCCGGGCGATACAAGACGGCCCAGTTCCATTTCCACTGGGGTCGGGACAACACTCAGGGGTCAGAGCATCTGAACAGAAACACACATTACCCAATGGAGGTGAGGGATATTGAAGGTACCCTCTAACATGTCGGGTACACTACCTTGTTTGGAAGACAATTTTCAACACATGACGATGTTTTCGTCACACTTAAATGTTCTCGTGCTTTCGGTATCGGGCGGGGGGGGGGGGGGGGTAACCCCCGGGCTTTCGTTCAATAAAATGTACAGGACTAATGCTGAACATATTGGAATGAGTTGTGACTGATTATTTGTTAACATAGGATTTGTAGTAAACTTTTGGAAAAGCTAGGAGGAATTTGGAATTTTAAACAATTTGTATAAGTATCGCTGGCAATGTGTTTAAATTGTTTACACAGAATCAGTCTAGAAAAAAAATGTTCGTTCGTGATTTGCACTTATTGTATATATGTAAATTGTGGGTGAAGAATTTTAACAGACTAAAATAGAAACAACATGAAGAGGGAAGTTCATCCATCAATTATTGTACCACTTGTGTATGTCAGACGTGATATAGCTTCAGATTAATATTGGGAGGGGGGTTCAAAGGCTATACAGCGACGATTGCATTGTTACTGTGTAGATAGAAATCCTACAATCAATTTACAAGTAATGATATATACATGTAATATTAAGAGTAGATATTGAAAACACTATACATGTATACTAAAAATATTTTTTATCAAAATTTCGTTAAACTATTTATGTAATTTTTATTTTAAATTCTTTATACATGTATATGTTGTGACATTTGACATGGTGTACATGATAATGTGGTGATTTTATATGAACAGCTCCACGTGGTGAACTATAACGAGAAATATGGAAACTTATCGAACGCCGCCTCAAAGGAAGGGGATGGTCTGGCCGTACTCGGCTTCTTCTTCGTGGTGAGCAAAATGTTTAATTCTAAGTAGAATGCTACAGTGTAACTCGGCTTATTTCCATCCGGAAAGGGATGTTGAATTACATGAAATACACTTCAAATGTGCATAACAAAGGGTCACAGCGAAAAACAAATTGATCGCATAAATGAAAATAAAAAGTCTTATTCTTATAATTTTTGTTTTGTTTTCTTTTTCAGCCAAATGGAAATACTGATAATAGCGCGTTCACCACTTTGTTGAATAAATTTAATGACGTTAAATTAAAAGGTAGGGAGCAGCATTTTATTAGAAAAACAATATTGATGTGTTTCTCTTTAAACATTTTAATCTTTAAGATATTTGATTTTATAAAATAATTCTCAATATGATGTATAATCGTGATTTAATAAAATACATGTATTACAATTCTCAATTAACATTGGACTTTCAGTTAGGCGGAATATTCTCAACCTTACATAATTAGCGTCTGAAATTTACACAGCCTTTCATTCACTGTTGAAATATACAGTGTATACATTGCGGTAAATGTCAATGATCAAAGGATGCACAGCATTTCGTACGACAGAGAGGTGGGGCTTAAGTCGTCTCATCGTTGTCAACAACAACTTGAAGTTGCTGATGTTATTAACGCCCCACTGAGAGTTTAAGGTTAACGGAGAGTCGTACTAATTAGCTGCAATAATGTAGCCCTCTCCTTTTATTCGGGGGGAGGACAACAATTCCTTGGGATCTCAGTAATGGTGCAAAGCGGGAGCGATTCACTCCCGCACGGATTTCGGCTTAAATTGTCAGTAAACGGCTATTTAATTAACATGTCTTACTCGGACTTCCAAAATGTAGTTATCCAAGACATAAATCGATCCAAAAATATATAGAACAATTCATATATCGCTTATTTTTCGTGTATGTCAATATCACAAGTTAAATTTAGCCGCCTTGTTTACTAACCTTGACAGATTTTATTTTGGGACTGCCAATGGTATTAAATTTTAAGCCTGAATATCGCTGTTTACGTAAAAATAACACATGGAATTGTTTTATTTATCAATATTTACTGATACTATTCATCACAATTATTTATAAACACAGACACCTGGTTTACTGAGTTATTCTAAACTTCAAGCGCAAGTCTCAGTATGTCACGCGTGAACTGTCATGGCGGCTGAGTAGAAGCGACAGGTAACACTTAGATTTATCTTAAATGGTTTTCGCGTTAAACGGGCTATGTTGTTGACAGTAAATAAAAATCTCGTCTTATTAGAAGTAAGTTGAATGTAAAAACAATATATTCTGCCTGCAGTCGCCCGTATTAAAAAAATATTTGTGCATCATTACGGAGATGCTGTGGAATTGTAGCCCTCTACAAAACATCAGATTAAAAAACAAGCAAATTCAAAGAATTATGGTCCCCCACTTTTGGCGTCTTTGTGGGAGTGATGTCATTTTTTATGACATGTTGTCTCAAATATGAACGCCCTTTCGTATGTCATTTAGAAATTATTACTGAAGTAGGGTGTTTTTTTAAAATAACGTCAATCGTAAAGGTCAAGGTAAATGGGTTACAAATCATGGAATGCTTAGAAATATCTTGCCACAGGTAATACACATGTCAAAATATATGAAAGCCATATCGCTTCTCAGGATAAGGAACAAGATGTGGCAATTGCAACATACCGAAGACTGAACTTTTCTTAAATGCAAATTAAATATGATATATTACCCAATTTTTTTTTATTAAAAGTAGGTCAAACTCTAAGGTCAAGGTCATTCTTGATATCCAATGAAGGGTCCTGTCACAAGGATTAAATATGTAAAACATGAAAGCCTTAGCCCAAACCCTTTAAAAGTTATGGTCAAGGTTCGTTTTTTAAAAGTAAGGTAAACGTCAAGATCAAATGGTCAAAGTTCTCTGTATCCAATGAAAGGCCTTCTCACAAGGATTACAAATGTGAAGTATGAAAGCCCTATCCCCTACCGTTTAAAAGTTATGGCCAAGGTTAAAGTTTTTTCACAAGTACAAAAATCTCCAAGGTCAAGGTAAGAAGGTCAAGGTTGTTGGTATCCAATAAAAGGCCTTGCCACAAAGAATACATAATATTATGTGAAATATGAAAGTCCTAGTATCTACCATTCAAAAGTTATGGTTAGAGTAAAAGTTCAGAATTTTTGTGTAAAAGTGGGTCAAACTCCAAGGTCAAGGTCAAAAAGTCAAATTTTGTGGTACCCAAAGAAAGGTCTTGTCACAAGGAATACACAGACTGACAGACTGACGGACAGACGAATGAGATTTAATGTTCCCTCGCTTTCGCGAAAGCAGGGGACAAAAACGGAGGGCTACATTATTGCAGCTAGTACTAATGCGAATGAAATGGATGGTTTTTTTTTCAGACGCCGAGTCAGAACTTACCGGCTTCAATATTGATTTTATGCTCCCATTCTCAAGCGGAAATGCTGACCGATTCTACAGATATTCCGGAAGTTTGACCACGCCTCCGTGTTATGAGAGCGTGGTATGGACTATCTTCGAGAGTACTATCCCAATTTCCGATTCACAGGTAATACTAATTAACTATTTCATAACTTACTTTGACCTTTTTTGTGAGCAGCAACACACATTCTCTCCATCAAAGGTGTGTCAACTTTTGATGATTTCACTAAAAGAAGGCCACAGCAACCTACTGTTGATATTTTTGGCAGGTTCTTTAATTCTTTGTTAAGTTGCAAACAATAAATGGATTATAAAACTAATTTTATTTTCTTTGACACAGCTTGCTATGTTCCGGATGCTACAAGAGGATAATACACCAAATAGCGATCACGTGATTGTAGATAACTTCCGGCCAGTACAGGCTCTAAATGGCCGCCAAGTGAGGAGAAGTTTTGCAAGTTCCGCTTCTGGTCTTCAGATTTCTTTCTTAGCTCTGTTACTCGTACTACTACGTTTTCTTTAGAGTATTAACCCTATTTATAGATTATATTCAAGTCTCTTTAATACTTCAGGAGTGGTAAACTATTTTCTAACACACTGAACATAGTTAATTAATGTCCATCCATCATATCCCAATGCTGATAATTCATAAATGGCTAGGACCAGTTAGTGCGTTTATTCTTTTTTCTCAAGATACATATGTATAGTCATTGAGAGCAATAGTCATGAAATATACAGTGTTTTATGTGCATATTTGAATTATTTCTTCATTTTCATTTTATCACTGGACCTTTCACCAAAATTTAAGAATATCGATCTGTTTATATTGTTGAAAACATTGAAGGACATACAAAATTCAGATATAAATGATTAGCATAAAAGTTAAGAGCGGTGCTTAATTTCTAGACTCATTCAAAGGTTTTTCTACCTTCCACTTTTTTGTATGATTTTATATTTATCATGATATTTGCTGTATACGTACATCAAGTGATACATTTGTGTGAAACTGATTGATATGTATCGATTGTGTGAATCTCGGTGATCGAACCAATAAAACATTATCATTTAATTCGTTAGAATTACTTCTGATTTGTTTCATTTTATTTCTCCTCTGAATATTTTATGTGTTAATGCTAAAATTACATAAAATTCTATATAATAATGAGGCGATCTATAAGAATGTCATAATTATGATCAAACTACACGTAAAACAAGGGAAAAGAAGTCGGTCTTTGATTTTAGCAGACGATTAAGGGCCATGAACTATATACATGTAATTCTGTAATTAGAATTTGACCAGTCAAGGATTTTTTGTCATTTTTTAAAAGAAATTTTGATACATTTATATTTGGAGCCAGTTTTGCATCATGATACATGTATTTATATGACGTGATCATAAAAAAACAAGTTCTATTTGTCAGCAATTTTGCTTCTGAGATTGAGGGGATCGTTAGGGGGAAAAGCCAACTTACATATTGTGATGGTTTCATAGAAAAATCTGTACCATGTTGATATATAGAAATGATAGAGACGCTGAGTGTTGGTGCCTGCATTGAATATCATTGTAGTTGTGATGTACCTAAGTACACTGAATGAATATACATCAATGAATAAAATATACAAGAAACATTATTTTTTCTTTTTGTTTAAGAAATTTTTTTTGAATAAATATCAAATATTTTTCATATGGATTTTGTTAATGTCAATCGTTGATGAGAAATTAAATGATTATAATTTTGAAATGCAAAAAGATATTTGAAAACTAAAATTTGCGTATTTAGCAGATATGATTTACGGAATTTGATCCTGAATGTTATTTATCAGTGTACCAAAATAGAGTTAAGCGATCCTCCCTTCCTTGCCATTTGGACGATGGATACCATACAACGCCGAACGATTTTATTTACCAAGCTGTTTCTACAGTCTAATTCAAGTTTCCCTTACGTATGGTAAATCTCATTGGGAAGAGGAAACCTAGTAAAGATTGTGTACATTTGTTTCATTTCAATTCCGGAATAATACATACACACAGATATTACTAAAATAATACCACTGCGTTGAGGTTGCATTAATTAAAAATGTTTCGACAAAGGTTCAACAACAGACAAGAGGTCCATGGGCCACAACGCTCACCTGAGTCAATATGACCCTATCTGTTTTAATCAGCATTTTTTTCTACTCCTATGTAAACTTTGACCTTGTTGTAATCCGATCCTTTTCCGATGTGTCCATATGGATTGAACAAACTTAAATCTACACTTTAAAAGTATACTTCCATATTCAATGAACTTGTCGTGACTTTGCTATTCTTGGGAAGATTTTAAAGAAGTGGACTCACCCTACCCGTCGATGAAAGCAATTAATGAATTTGAATAAACATTAATTTATACTCCCATGATACTTCCATATTAATGTGACTAATCATGACTTTGTTGTGCTTAATTAAAGGCCGAGGTTTTCAACCGTACGGTTTTCCTCAGGTAAGTTTGGTGTGGGGTGGAGTTTAATCGAAGCGGCAGAGAAGCCCCGCGGGAACGACGCTGGCTTGTGTATACTACCTATATACACAGGATGTTACCTGAGCCCCTGAGTGTATTACCTGTATGCGTTTTCCTAAGACTTTGTAAACCGAGGCTGTTTTTTTTTTCATGTTTAGCTCATGAATTGAAATGCGAAATAAAGCTTTTTTGGTTGCAGACAGAATTCTTTCAATTTCTTTCTTTAAAAATAATTGATATTTTTAATAATTCGACATTTTTCATATACAGTGTGTTTCTTAATGAAGTGTTATAACGAAAATACATTTAGCACCAAAATCTGTCGTTGTAATCTGGCGACAAAAAGGGAAGTAATTCAAACTAGTGCTAATTGTAACGGGGACCGTTACAGATGTTCCCCAAACGCTCCCCATTTCCCTTTTGGTGCCATATTCCCTATAAGTTTCATTAAATAGGACAAACTTTATGCATTTGAGACTTTAACAACGTTTACCCAGAAGGGTACCAAGTTCATTCAAATTTTAACATTGCACGCGTGCGCATGTGAATGCGTGTGCGTAATGACCATATCATCTTATCTACACAATCTATATACTTCAATATACTAAATATTAAAATATTTAATCCAAAAGTATTAAAAAAATACGCTCATTCAAGTGTATTTTTGATTTTACTCATTCCACGTGCACGCACGTGCATACATGAACATGGTGACATACCTACTTGTGAAAGTCCATTACATCTATCCATGTTCTAAATCCCACTCAGTTTGATTGAAAACCAAGGGAGTTATAGCTGATTAAAGTTTCAGCCAATCAGATTGCAGCGTACGTTCACGCACGTGTATGGATGTGCATGGTGATCATACCTTCTTGAAGAAGTCCATTATATCTATCTATGTTCCAAATCTCATCCTGTTTGGTTGAAAAATAAGGGAGTTATAGCTATTTAAAGTTTCAGCCAATCAGATTGCAGCGCACGTACACGCACGCGTATGAATGTGCATGGTGACCATACCTTCTTGTAGAAGTCTATTATATCTATCTATGTTCCAAATTCCATTCTGTTTGATTGAAAAACAAGGGAGTTATAGCCATTTAAAGTTTTAGCCAATCAGATTGCAGCGCACGTGCATGCACGTGCTTACATGTCAATTGTTATATATCATATTGTAGTACATCCTAAAGTATGCCTATGTTTTAAATTTTATAGCATTTTGTCAAAAAACAGAAAAGATATTGAGATTTTTGTTTCAGCCAATCAGAGTGAAGCGCACGTGCATGCGCGTGAGTTCATGCTAATTTGACATTATCTACAGTATTAATATATGTTTATATAATGAGTTTCAAATCATTTCATAAAAAATTGTAAAAGTTATAGCTATATTAAGTATATCAGTCAATTCACTCATTTCACGCGCACGCACGTGCAGGCGTATGCGCGCAAAATGACCTTCGTTCCGCACACCTACACAACACACCTATTAACCCTAAAAAGGTTTTAGCTCAGTTGGATGAACAGTTTCTGAGAACACTCGCGGACAAAAAAAGTACCGGAGAAGAAATAAGAAAAAAAAAAATAATAATAATAATAATAAGAAACAGAGTAAAAACAATATGTTCCCAAACTCCGTTTGGGGAACATAATAATAACTAGTGCTAATTGTAACGGGGACCGTTACAGATGTTCCCCAAACCCTCCCCAACTCCCTTTTGGTGCCATATTCCCTGTAAGCTTCATTAAATAAGACAAACTCGATGCATTTGAGACTTTAACAACGTTTACCCAGAAGTGTACAAAGTTCATTCAGATTTTAGCATTGCCCGCGTGCGCATGTGAATGCATGTACGTAATGACCATATCATCTTGTCTACACAATCTATATATTTTAATATACTAAATATAAAAGTATTCAATCCAAAAGTATTAAAAAGATACGCTCATTCAAGTGTTTTTTTGATTTTGCTCATTTCACGTGCACGCACGTGCATACATGAGCATGGTAACCATATCTTTTTGTAGATGTCCGTTACATCTATCTATGTTCCAAATCCCACCCCGTTTGGTTGAAAACCAAGGGAGTTATAGCTGTTTAAAGTTTCAGCCAATCAGATTGCAGTGCACGTACATGCACGTGTATGCATGTGCATGTTGACCATATTTTCTTGTAGTAGTCCAGTATATCTATCTATGTTCCAAATCCCATCTTGTTTGGTTGAAAATCAAGGGAGTTATAGCTATTTGAAGTTTAAGCCAATCAGATTGCAGCGCACGTGCATGCACGTGTTTTTTTGATAATTGCTATATATCATGTTGTAGGATATCCTAATGCATGGCTATTTTCAAAATTTCAAAGGATTTCGTCAAAAAACAAGAAAGATATTGAGACTTTAGTTTCAGCCAATCAGAGCAAAGCGCACGTGTATGCGCGTGAGATCTTGCTATTTTGACCATGTCATATTGTCTATGCTTCTAATATATCCTTATATTATAAGTTTCAAAGCATTTCATCAAAAATTTAAAAAGTTACGCCTATATCAATTAAATCGGTCATTTCACATGTTGCATGTGCACGCTCTTGCAAGCACGTGCGCGCAAAATGACCTTCGTTCCGCAAATCTACATAACATGTCTACTGACCCTAAAAACATTTCACCTTAGTCGGATGTATAGTTTACGAGATCATTCCCGGACAAAAAAGTACCCAGGAAGAAGAAGAAGAAGAAAAATAATAATAATAAGAAACAGAGTAAAAACAATATGTTCCCCAACTTCGTTTGGGGAACATAATTACACGTCGTCTGCGCAAAACGAAAGACGAAAGAGAATCATAAAACAGTCTCTCGGTAAATAACAATGAAACTTAGAAACGATGTTTTGAGAATAAAATGTTGAAGTAGAAATATTATTGTCTAAATAAATATCTTTTTAAGATAAACCTTACTTGATTTTTCCATAACGCATGGTCGTTAAAAATGGCCAGGGCTTCGGATCGGGGTTGATTCCCAGACAGCTATGAAACGGAAAAAGAATATCATCTGCATCGTTTTTTTCTTTCGGGATTCATTATTAATTTCAAACATTAAATACAAAGCAAGATGTTATATTCCGAGTAATTTCTCTTCTAAAACTTATTATTATACCGTAACGTCGTCACCATGTCTTGAAGAAACACGTACAGGTTTGTCTTATAAATATAAATTTGCTTGACTCATGAACAATGTTACAATGTTGTCATACTTCTTTTAAAAAATAATTTTATTTAATTCCATGATACTAGCTTCAAACGCAGGTCGGTTTATTTTGTTAATTAATGGAGGAATAAATGTATTTTGACACGGAAATTAAAATTATCGATTGTAATCCTGATATGAAATCTTCCCTCTTAAAATTAGATTTATAATATATATATTATATAGCCATGATTTTTTGTAATTTGATAGATTGATTATATTTATGGCATATTCTTATGAATTAAAAAAAAAAGAAAAGAACGATTTGATTGCTTCTTTATCACGTTGGCATACAGTGCGGTAGGCATCAAAAGCCTGAAAGTTAATTCGATGGTCGGTACGATCTCCAGACAAGGTGCACAAGATATACACAACAGCAGCAAACTAAATGTCAATCAAATCAAAGCATCCAATCCCAGGCTTAATTTCAGATGATTGACAGAGGTTCTAAGACCAGGTAAATTCGAAGGAGGTGCTTATTTCCTCCCCCTTTAAGATTGTTATGCCCCAGTAATCGAAGATTCGGGGGAATGTAGTTTTTGCCCTGTGCGTCCGACTAGCTGTCCGTTTGTCCGGAAAAAAAAACGTTAAGCTTGCTCATAAGTTTTGAATGGGTGGAGCTCTATGGCTTTTATATGTCACAGGTGTATTCCTTATGACAAGACCTTTCTTTTGGTTGCACCAAATTTGACCTCATTACCTTGACCCTGGAGTTTGACCCACTTTTACCGTTAGTATTAGCGTTTTCATATTTCCCATGTACCGGTATATCCCTTGTGAGAAGACCAAGGGCTTCCTTTTATGTATCAACAATTTTGACTATTGAGTTTAACTAGCATTTGAAAATTTCAACCCTCGCCATCAGCTGCCATTCGGAGGCATCAGTGTTTCACAAACAGATCTTGTTCTTATGCCCCCGTAAACGAAGTTTCGGGGGTACATAGTTTTTGTCGTGTCCTTCTAGCTAGCTGTCTGCAAATACTTTAACCTTGCCTATAACGTTTGATTTAGTGCAGCTATGATTTTTATATTCCATATGTGTATTTCTTGTGACAAGACCTTTCTTTAGGTACCTCCAAATTTGACCTTTACATTGGAGTTTGACCCACTTTTACACAAAAATTCAAAATTTTTACTTTGGCCATATTTTTTGAACAGTAGATATCAGGACTTTTATACTTCATATATGTATTCAATGTGGAAAGACCTTTCATTGGATAACAACAACTTTGACGTTGGAGATGTTCGTACTTGAAAAAACTTTAACCTAGGCCATAACTTTTGAATGCTAAGGGCTAGTGCTCTCATACTTCACATACTGAGTATGTAATCCTTGTGAAATGAAGCTTCATTGGATACCAAGAACTTTGACCCTTTGACCCTGGAGTTTGACTTACTTTTAAGAAACAAACTTTGACCATAACTTTTGAAGGGTTAGAGCTAGTGCTTTCATACTTTTTATCTTTTATCCATGTGACAAGACCTTTCATTATACCCCCGCTTGAAAAGCGGGAGGGTATATAGTAATCGTTAATTCCGTCCGTCTGTACGTCTGTCCGTCTGTTACGCTTTGGGGTACCCATCTCTTATCCGCAACTCCTCTCATACCACTGAATGAAATTTGATGAAACTTTCACAGAATCTTTATTACATATTGCCATTGTGCACCTCCTATTTTACTTTTTGATCCGACACATATTTTGGGTTTCCCGGGCACAGCAAAACATGGACTTTGTCATCAGTTATAATCATATGGGAGGCGGGGGGTATCATTTAGTGAGCTCATTGCTCACAGTACCTCTAGTTTGTATCAGAAATTTTGGTCCTTTGACCTTGACTTTGGAGTTTGCCCTACTTTTTATAAACATTTTAACCTTGGCCATAATTTTGGAAGGGTTAGGGCTAAAGCCTTCCATACCTCACATATGTCTTCTTTGTGGTAATACCTTTCATTGGAAACCAATTGCCTTCACCTTTGACCTTGGAAATTTCCGTACTTATGAAAAAACTTTAACCTTGACCTACTTTCATATATCACATTTGTATTTCCAAGGATAAAACCATACTTTGGGTACCAATATGTTACATTTGCATAAGTTTAAGAAAAGTTCTATCTTCGCTATGTTGCCATACGGGAGCATCAGTGTTTCACAAACACATCTTGTTTTAATTTTATACCCCCCGCTTAAAAAGTGGGAGGTTATAGTGTAATCAGTATGTCCGTCTGTACGTCCGTCCGTCTGTCTGTTATGCTTTGGGGTACCCATCTCTTATCCGCAACTCCTCTTATACCACTGAGTGAAATTTAATGAAACTTTCACAGAATCTTTATTACATATTGCCATTGTGCACCTCCTATTTAACTTTTTGATCCGACACATATTTTTGGTTTCCCGGCCACAGCAAAACATGGACTTTTCCATTATAATCATATGGGAGGCGGGGGATATCATTTAGTGAGCTCATTCTCACAGTACCTCTAGTTTTTTATTGTAAAATGCTATGTTTAATTCTGATAGCCTGAGAATGCCTTTATAACAAATGTCTGCTGTATTTTTAGTCCCCTGATTTCACTGAGAAGTTGGGTAATCAATTTCGGTCAGTTTGTTTGTCCGTCTGTCTGCATTTCTGTCTGTAACATTTTCTTTTTCGCGCGATATTTCGGGATTTTTAGGTTATTGCAATGAAATTCTATAAAATAACTCCCTATGACTTAAAGGAGACCCCAATTGATTTTGATATCAAAAGGCCGAGGTCATGAACTGATTAAGTCTTTCCTGCTTAAACAATTTGTTTCAGCGCAATATCTCGCGAAGCCTTTGAGCTTTTACAATAAGATTTTACATCACATCTACCTACATGTAAGGAAGAACACTTACTGATTTGGAGGCCAAAAGTTCAAAGTCGTGAATTCATATTTTCGCTCTATTAAACTTTCACTTTCCGGCGATATGTCAAAAAGCTTTTGCAATGAAATTTTATACCATAAATCCCTATGACCCGCCCACCCCTCTTAAACCCCCTCCCCCCTTCTGGATTCGCATGTGCTCTTCATTTTCTTTGAGCTGAAGACGACGATTCCCTGAATTAGCTTAAATATTTTGTCTCTTTGCTTAAAAACGCTCTATACCAAAATTGGTTGAAATTAATTGCATGAACAATTTTATGAGAATAAAGAGGCTAAAAATGTTCAAAATCTTATCACTGACGAATGGAAGAGGGACAAAATGCATAGCAATAAGAACAACTGAGTGTCACTCGTTTAACCTAATAAAATGAAGAAACCTTTTATTTATCATGCAAGAAATTAAAGATGACTTGAAGGGAAATAGGCACATATTCCCAGTCTTTATTCTGCAATATTAGCTGTAGAATTTAATAACGAATTTTTCACAAGCTACAACGGAAAAGAATATACAGAAGTATGGACTACTTTATAGTTGATAATTTTCGAAAACCCAAGATACATCAACTGACAAACTTCGATGATTATAAGCCAATAAATACCTGAGATATTCAAAAGTAGGTCACCGTGGTCGTCATCCTCCGAAAACCTAAGATGCATCAACTTACAAAGTTTGATGATTCTAAGCCAGTAAGTACAGGAGATACTTAAATAAAGCCAAAATGTCAAAAGTAGGTCTCTTTTTGGTCGCCATTCTCCGAAAACCCATGATGCATCAACTGACAAAGTTTAATGATTCTAAGCCAATAAGTCCTAAGATACTTATATATAGCCATAAAATGTTGAAATTAGGTCACTGTGACCTACATTTTGGTTGACGTTTTTCGAAGTCCCAAGATACATCTACTGACAAAGTTTAATGATCATAGGTCTGCAAGTATTCAAAATATGCTTTTTAAACAATTTGAAAACAAATGCCTGCCAAATTCAAAAAGTAGGTCACAGTGACCTTCTTTTTCAAAAATATGTTTTAAGGCCCCAATATGCATCAACTTACAAGATTTGATGATTCTTAACCTCTCAGTGTCTGAAATATTGGGATTAAATGTTTTAGAAAGAATTAGCCATAAAATTCAAAAAGTAGGTCACGGTAACCTACTTTTAAGTTGACATTGTTTGAGGACCTCAGACACATCAACTGACAAAGTTTGAAGATCATAGGCTTCAAAGTGTTCAAAATATGCCTCCAAATCAATTTGAAAACAAATGCCAGAAAAAATTTAAAAGTAGGTCACCATGACCTACGTTTGAATTAACATGATTTGAAGTTCTAAGATGCATCAACTTACAAGATTTGATGATCCGAGTCTTTATAGCAAGCAAAATATAAACATTTTTATAAAATGTAAATTTAGGTCAACTTTGAAGTGACCCTGAGACCACGCCCTTTGCCCCAGGGTAATTAATTCCCTGTGCAAATTTTAATCAACATATCCTGATCCTTGTATGCAAGTTTGGTGAAAATCTGCCTGGTGGTTCTGGAGAAAAAGATTTCTTAGCAACCAGTACTTTTGGTTTTGTTTTCCTGATTATCTCCCCTTGTTTAAGGGTCCCAACCCTAGTTTTAGTATAAATGGTTGCCCTTGGGCCAAGGATACCCTGTGACAAATTTGAAACTGATTGGCCAAGGGGTTCTTGAGTTATTGCCCATATTCTAAAAAGTTTACGCACATCACACAAATGGCCACAGCATTAGCTCTTTGAGCCTTTGGCTCAGAAGAACTAAATAAACAGAATGATAGGAACAAAAGCTGAGACCTTTATTACAGAAGATCAGCAACATAGCACTACAACATGGATATGACAATCATGTGACAGTCATGTGACGATCATGTGATTGGAGTGTAGCAGAACATCAGTAATGGTTTGGCACACAAAACATGGTGGTACAATGGTTATCAGCATACAACAGATATTTATATCAGATCAGCAAGGTTACTTACAACATACTGATATGTCAAGGTGAATTTTCTTGAATGTTAATTTTAAACAACCATAATAACACAGATTTATGGAATAAAAAATATTACAACTTTACATCACATTGAACATAAACACTCATTTGATTGATATAAAACTTGTCACTATATCCCAACAGTGAAAAATTGAGCTATTTGATGCATTAAATGTTACATCTGTTTCAGTATTACTAAACATATCATAGTCAGTCTTAATACATGTATCATTTGAATTTTGCACATTGAAAAAAAGTCATTTGATTGCAGCTGTTTAATTACAGGACTATTGTTATTACTTTTCAGAACTTCAGACACTATTCAAAGTAACTTAAGTACTGTTTAATACTACTTTTTTCATATTGCCCCTCACATTAGCATTGTGTTTCAAGAGAGACAACTCTAGGTCTGATATGTGACCAAAGACTGATTCAGATAGTAATACGAAATTATCACGGATAATGTCTATACATGAACACATTAACATTTTAAACGGAAATGTCAATGAAAGGAGAAAAAACAACCTTCTGTTACAACAGTATAGTAAGTACCTGACTTAATCAGCAATTAAAACACTTAGTACATAATGATATACACCTCTGCTACATGTACATAGTTTTGCTTCCCTTAAAGAAAATATAACACTCTAAAAACCAAATACCATAATGTTTGACAAAATATTACAATGTACATGAAGGAAAGCAAAAGGAAAAATTTTGACCTAAAGAAAGTCACGTCATAAAATAAAATAGCATTAAGAACCAGCAAAATGGAACCAGCATTTGGTAACCATGGTAACTGCTCGCTGTTCAAGACTTGCGGGATTCAGAGTTGTCTCTGACTTGGAATGATTTTGTCACAAACATTTCTCTGGTAATGATATGGTTCTCAACCTGATAGTATTGTACATGTACATGTATCTGTGTACATAATTAGTTGTCACAAAATAATATCATTAATATCAATCCACCCTGTACAAAACTACACAGGTATGTGAGATTCATTGCTTTATCTTAATTCTGTGAAAATGCAAACAAAATGACTAATGGAATTATACATCGATGACCAACATAAATAATTCTGAGACATTAAAAACATGCAGCTAACCCCCATCCGTTACAGTGTCTGGGTACATTTTCTGTGATGCAGAAATTTGGAACTGGAATATGCTGAGCAAGTTGATTTCTTTTATTTTGGAAGCAAAGAAATAGGTTCAAAACAGATTGAAGTTTTTTACTTGGAAGAAGAAATGCTACAACTACCTTTCTAATATACCTGATTAAAAATTAACTCCTGGATCAATGAACTTTATTGCACTCATGTTCACAGATACCCCCATAAATGTATTGTAAATGAAAACAGTTTGTTGATGTTTTTTTTACAGTAAATATGTTGACTAGAAAAACATTGGCATAAAAAAGTCGTAAAATCCCTTGACCATAAAAATACTATTAAGTATTTTCTGTTTTCAAAAAAAAAAAAATCTATATCAATATCTGAATGATTTACTTTAAATACATGAATATCTAATGCTTCTATTTAAGTTTAGATAAAAAAAGAACACTTGTCATGTGAAAAAATCATATTCCAGACATTGTAATACACTGTATTATGATTTTTTTTTTAAAAATTTTTATCTCAGATTATTTTTTAAGATTTGTATAAAACAAAAAAAATGTGTGGGAAATTCCTGCTTGTATAACAAAATACAGTCAGAGAAGTAAAAATGTTCAATATACATGTACATGTATCTGTGATGTTGGGGAATCTATAATGTAGAGAATGAGAGATAATCCTGGTGTTTGACATATCTGAAATATCTAACATAACTGACATACCACCTGGTGTTTATTTATCTGACATACTGCAGTTAGGTTGCAGAATGAAATATATTCCTGGTATTTGTCAATCTCCAAATTATCAGGGTTTTCTGTATTAATAATTGTGTTATTCAGTATTCACTTATGTCAGTTTTCAGTTGGGAATATGTAAAACTTGAGTGGTAAATTCCTGTTCAAAGATTGACTCTTAAATTCCTTTAATCAAATCCTGAGATGATAATAGTACATTGACAACAGGCTGATTCATACATACATGTACATGTAAAGTCAAGTGTTAATTAACTTAAACTTCCTTCCAAAAAATTGAAACGGAAAAGATAAACCATTAGGATGTCTCCTCTAGATGTTCGATACATTGCTTTACTGCTGTGATCTAATATTTATATAACTTCCTGATAATTTTATTTTTTGATTATTACATCTAAAATAGAAAATTTACTTTCCTTTTAATTTCACTTTTTTCTTGTTTCAGATCATGGATATTTTTTTGTACAGAAGTAATTTTATATTAGGATATTTATGTAAACCAGACAGAAATTTTAATTCAACATTAAGAGAGAGAGAAAGATTTAAACTTCACCGGTAGTGAACTAACAGACTTTTACATCAATAACAATTACAACAATTAACAAGTGGAGATTACTCATGGTAAAACAAGAATATTTCAACATTAATTTTTAGACATTGGTTTTGAAACATAAACTTAAAAACAACCAATGCTATATTAACATAGTGGTTTTCTGATGGTTTTGGTTTCAGCAAAATACAGTGAAGAGGTAACATATTCAGCAGATCTGACTCAAAATGTACAACCTGTAACCATGGTAACAGTAAATGAGGATAAAAAGGTGGGACAATAAAGCACATGTAATATACTGGATATAAATATCCCACACAACATCAGAATCTTTACTTCTTTTTCCCTGCCGGCCCTGGGGGTTTATCTTGTATAGCTAACATCTGTGAGTATTCCTCAAATGTATTATAGGATACATCTTCCTTTATCTGAAATGCCCAGTGTCCAAATTTGAGTGCTGTCTCCACATTGTCCTGATCATCATCAAATAAGATGATTTCCTGGGGTTTTATGATGACTTTTTGTCTATTGTAGACCTCTGTTAATACTGCTGTGATGTGGGCTTCTTTCCCTAAGTACTCGTAATTATGTCTCTCTCGGAATTCTATTGTATTGGCTTGTACATATATTTTTTCTGCATCCCTGAAAAGAGTGTGTACTTTGCAATGGAAATTCAAGTAATTAAATGAAAAATTTGCCAACATAATCATATATTAATGTTTTATAAAATTGACAAAAAATAACACATCAACACAGTGCGACTGCAGCAAGCTAAATGGGCTGAGAGCCAGGGGGGTATATTGGGAAGTGCTCTACCAATTGAGCTCAAGGGTTAACCCACTAGCCCAAGCTAGTAGGATGCCATGTTTTTTACACTGTTACATTGTCCCCCTCCAGAGAATGAGATGTCCTCATCTCTTTCGGAGTGCTGATACCTGTAGAGCGAAGTTCTAAGGGCAATCACTCTCATCTGCCAGAGAATACCCGGGCCTCATGTTGGGCGCCAAATGTAACAGAGACAATTTATTGCCTCTGCTGGGGATTGAACCTGAGACTTCTGGCTTGCCAGTCCAGTGCTCTACCAATTGAGCTAAACTAGCCTAAAGGATTAACCCATTAGCCCAAGCTATAGTAGGATGCCGTGTTTCTTACACAGGTACTATGCAGACATTTAAAATTTTCTGGATAGAACCTCTGTCCTATTTACTTTGCTACTTTGCTAAACACAATGAACACAATGAACAAATTCTATCATAAACCATAGTTTGTGGGACACTATCATTTTAATGCATGTTCCACCTACTGATCTAGTACTAACAGTAAGAATTTACACTGCAAGTGTAAAACTTTGTCAGTCATTTAAATTTATTGAAAGAATGTGCATACATTTTTTTTTTTTTTTTTTTTTTTTTTTTTTTTTTTTGCATTACTTTACATGCCTTATAAAAAAAATTAAATCTTCTTTACTTTTTCAGTAGTTTCTTCAGCAGTTCACGAATGACCCAGGGCTGAGAATGGAAGGTGACAATACACACGATAAGCTCCCTCTGTAGTGAAACTTCCAACAGGTCCTTCATACAGGGCCGAATGTGCTTGGCAAGATTGTCCGTGGAGTCCTTCCATACTCCACCTGAGTGAATTTTAATCAATGTTTGATCGAAATCAACAGCTACCACACGAATGCCCTTCTTCTCAATGCTCGACACCAGATTGACGACAGAACTTTTCGCCTTCTCTCTTGATGTAGTCATTTTTAAGGTGTCAATGTGTGAAACGTACAAAATATTTCAAAACAGTCCAATTTCTGTTTGGTTTTGCAGGAAAATACAACTTCTGCATGGTTTGGCCTTCAGGTTTTGACATCCATGACACCACCGGAAATGAAATTAATTATGTGAAAGTTTACTCGAAAACGTAACAGTTCCGGATAATGTTGCTTTAATCGAGCACTATCAACAGGATCACAGACACATTATAACAATATTTAATTTAGTTATTAAAAAAATAGCCCCAAGAGAAGGGGTTTTTATGCGAGAAATACCTATAAAAAGACCGATAAGGCCATCGGAAATGGGGGTGTGCGCAACAGTGAACTTTTTTAGGCCTAAATAAAAATATTTTTGAAAAAAAAATTAAAGGCAATAAGCCCACGGATAGTTAGAATGATCTAATTGTGTCTCGGTACAAGCCCTCACCACAGGTCCGTAGGACAATATCATTTTAACGATAGAACATTCTATCTATCCCACGGAGGTCTAGATCTGCGTCTCCTAAAAAATCTTGCCAGTATAGAATATTTTATAGAAAACCCGGGACCTATAGGTCACTGGGAAAACGAAGTTACTTTATGAAATGCCTCTCCATAATTACAAATATTTAATGTTATGTAGTCTGATTTCTTGAAGATGAAATACATTTTTTATTTCATTGTTCAATAAACATGTATCAGGACTTAAGTTATGAATTTTTTTAGAGAATATAAATACGATCTGTAAGAATTTATTAAGTTTATTTAATAGAAACAAGTTATATGGCTTATGGGTAATGAAAATGATCATATGTTACCACAAGTTGCCCAAAACTGGAAATAAATACTTGACTGACTGACTGACTTATATTTTACAAATTCTTTTACTCCCCCCCCCCCCCCTCCCACACCGTGTCCCTCTTGATTTCAGAATATATTTCAAAGTTGTTGACAAAGAAAAAATATATCATTAAACTTTATACGTACTTTCCTGATTTGAGATTTTAGGGCCGGGCTATAGGGGAAACCAAGATATTTTTAATGAACAAAGACAACTATACTGAGTCGATAGTATTCGCGTGAAGGGCGTGAGTCAAGGAATTTGCTCCAGGAAGGGGGTCCCCCGACCCCCTCTAGATTTGCGTAGCTGTATTCGTAAATATTATTATATTAGTGTATTAACAGATCTATCAACAATTATGAAAAATGTAGCTTTTTAAAATATCAGATAAACATGCAGGTACATAATGCATATCTCATTAAAAAAAAATAGGACCGAATTCATGGAAAAATATATGAGTTCTTATCAAAAATGTATAAATTTCAGACACATACATATGTGCATTCACATAAATAATAAATTTGAAGGTCCTTATAATAAATTTCCTCAAATCTTAAATGTAATGAATTTCCAGTGCTTTCATTAATTGATTGAGACATCATCATTTGATATGAGGATATAAGTACCCAGTCTCTAAATATCTATTTATTGTTTTGTAATTAATTAAAAATTGATATAATGATTGTTAAATGTCGATTCGATTTTGTGTGTTACCGTAGTCCCAGGGGATCATAACCAAAGTTGAAAATATTTTTATTCTTCCTTAATCGAAGATTCAGGGATATATATTTTAAGTGACGTAGCATCAATTTTGAAGGGGACAGGACAGCCAGAGAAAAAGAATCAGTTAACTTAACTAAAAAAAAACAAGCAAGAACTTGGCCTAACTCGGAAATCCTATACCATGATGGTGGTGGTGGTGGTGGCGGTGGTGGTGGTGGTGGGGGGGGTTGAAAACTACCTCTTTTTTTTTTTTTTTTTTTACATAGGGCATGTATAACTACATTACCTTATTTGGCTGTACTGCAAAAATAAGTGGGAGCCAACCCAGTCAGGCTTTCAATATACATTTTCAATGGTAAAAAATAATTTAAAAAAGAAAGAAGAAGAGGAGGGGGGGGGGGCATCTAACTACGTGCCTGAATTTTTGCCCTAGGCTAAGCGTCCGTCTGTCCATTTTGTTTGCAAAATCTTAAACCTTGTCTATATATATATTTTTTTAATTAAAGATATGACTTTCAAATTCTTGTGTTTTACTTGAGTCAAGACCTTTCTTATGTAGCAAAATATTTGCTTTTTTGCTTGGAATTAAACCCACTTTTGCAAAAATAGTCAAAATTAAACCTATTCTGGACAGTTTGAACTTGAAAGTTTTTACTACACATATGTACATGTATATATTGTGACCAGAGGTTTTTAAGAACTAAAATATTTTTTTTTACCTGCTGACCTTTGAGTTTGACACACTTAAAAAAATTTATTCTTGTCCAACAAGGATATTTTTTTTATTAAAAGAAAAATAAGTAATGTCAGGTGCATGTGGGTCAAACATTTCACCAAGCAGTTTGATATTGATTTTTTTGACAGCTCAGTAAGACATTTCAGATGTTTGACTTTTATTAGCATAGAATTTAACTGAAACAAGAGGCCCAGGGGCCACAGCGCTCACCTGAGCACATCAGGCTTGAATTTACTGCCCCCACCCCCTCCAGGCATTCATCATTTGAACAAACTAGAATCTACACTACCTGAAGATGATTCCATATAAATATCACTAATCATAGCTTTGAAGTACTTGTAAAGAAGATTTTAAAAGGTTTCCCTATATATCCCTATGTAAAAATTGGGTCGGCCATTTTGGCCCCACCCTAGCCCCGGGGTCATGATTTGAACAAACTTAAATCTGCTCTACCTGAGGATGATTCCACATGAGTTTTATCTTTCCTGGCCCAGTGGTTCTGGAGAAGATTTTTAAAGATTTTCCCTATATATTCCTATGTAAAACTTGGGTCTGCCATTTTGGCCCCACCCTAGCCCCGGGGGTCATGATTTGAACAAACTTAAATCTGTTCTACCTGAGGATGATTCCACATGAGTTTTATCTTTCCTGGCCCAGTGGTTCTGGAGAAGAAGATTTTTAAAGATTTTTCCTATATATTCCTATGTAAAACTTGGGTCGGCCATTTTGGCCCCACCCTAGCCCCGGGGGTCATGATTTGAACAAACTTAAATCTGCTCTACCTGAGGATGATTCCACATGAGTTTCATCTTTCCTGGCCCAATGGTTGTGGAGAAGAAGATTTTTAAAGATTTTTCTTATATATTCCTATGTAAAACTTGGGTCGGCCATTTTGGCCCCACCCTAGCCCCGGGGGTCATGATTTGAACAAAATTGAATCTACACTACCTGAGGTTGCTTCCACATGAGTTTCATCTTTCCTGGCCCAGCGGTTCTAGAGAAGAAGATTTTTAAAGATTTTTCCTATATACTCCTATGTAAAACTAGGGTCGGCCATTTTGGCCCCACCCTTGCCCCGGGGGTCATAATTTGAACAAACTTGAATCTTCACTACCTGAGGATGATTCCACCTGAGTTTCATCTTTCCTGGCCCAGTGGTTCTGGAGAAAAAGATTTTTAAAGATTTTTCCTATATATTCCTATGTAAAATTTGGGTCGGCCATTTTGGCCCCACCTTTGCCCCGGGGGTCATGATTTGAACAAACTTAAATCTCCTTTACTTGAGGATGATTCCACATGAGTTTCATCTTTCCTGGCCCAGTGGTTCTGGAGAAGATGTTTTTTAAAGATTTTTCCTATATATTCCTATGTAAAACTTGGGTCGGCCATTTTGGCCCCACCCTAGCCCCGGGGGTCATGATTTGAACAAACTTATATCTCCTTTACTTGAGGATGATTCCACATGAGTTTCAACTTTCCTGGCCCAGTGGTTCTGGAGAAGATGTTTTTTAAAGATTTTTCCTATATATTCCTATGTAAAACTTGGGTTGGCCATTTTGGCCCCACCCTTGCCCCGGGGGTCATGATTTGAACAAACTTGAATCTACACTACCTGAGGTTGCTTCCACATGAGTTTCATCTTTCCTGGCCCAGCGGTTCTGGAGAAGAAGATTTTTTAAAAATGCCATTAATTTTTAACAAATTCATGATTATCTCCCCTTGGAAAAGGGGGCCCTTCATTTGAACAAACTTGAATCCCCTTCACCCAATGATACTTTGTGCCAAGTTTGGTTGAAATTGGCCCAGTGGTTCTTGAGAAGAAGATGAAAATGTGAAAAGTTTACGACGACAACAACGACAACAACGACAGACAACGGACAAATTTTGATCAGAAAAGCTCACTTGAGCCTTCGGCTCAGGTGAGCTAAAAATCAAACAAATTGCTGTTTGTTTCTGTTTACTTTTTAATTGTCTTAACTAAAGCACATTTATGCATCTCCATTCAACATTCAGATTAGAAAAATATGACATACATGTATAATTTAGTAGTATATATCTAGCATTTCACAATCTTTCAGTTTCACAATGTACAACCTGTATTGATATGCACTTGAAATTATGTAATGAACTATTTAACTATCATTCAATAACCTGCCCATTAAAAAAAATGAGTCAAATAAAAACACAAAGAATGAAACTGGTATTTACATTAATCAATATGCAAATCAATCAACTGACCTGAAAATAAAATTTTCAGAGTTGATATTTGTATGTGTAACTCAACTCTGAGAGGAGAGCAACCTATTTCATTTGAAACAATTTCCTATAATCCTATGTCAGTCCTCTAATAATCCTTAATACATTAGGAACATTCCAAATATAATCCTAGTACAATCCTTTAATAATCCTTTTACAGTCCTTTTCTAAACAGTCCTACTCCTAGCCAAACCAGGATCTCTGTCACTGCGGGAAAGGCACTGCAGAATCCGAATATGTACCAGTAATACGTACAGGGCCAGAACTCAAACAGGAAGAAGAACAGGGCCACTACCGCCCCCGCGTGACAGGCAACAGCTGATTCAGGTCAAGGTCAAACAATGAAATAGGTTAAATAGCACTAATATTTCAATAAGCTTTCTTCAGAGCTGTCCATTTCTTAAACACACTATCTGAATAAAAGTGATGATTTCAGTCAGAGCTGGGAATGCGGTAGAAAATCCAAAAATATACCAGTATCTGTGACATGGCATTTCCCACAGAATGAAATACGCTAAGGAAACACAAGCACCACAGTGAGCCGAAATAGCTAACCAAGGTCAAGGACAAACATTCTTTAAGCAATTCATTGGTAAAACTATTGCTGGCTCCTTCACTATGAAGATTGAATTAGCTTATGAAAGGGTAAATGACTCTTCAACAATTATTCAAATTGTGGAGCTTGTTTGTGGCCTACAAAAAGTTTTATCAGATAATATTCCAGTAATGTATTGTAATAGGAACTAAAAAACAAACAGATACTGAAAATTTGACCTATTTTTCTACTACATTACTTTCATTGTTTGGGTGAAAATTTTTTAAGGAAAATCTGCCTTTCTGGTTTTGCACTTGCAAAACTTTTCCAATAAAAAAGGATACAAAGCATACTCTGGAATGGCATGAACATTGAGATTCCTCCAACGAATCCAATCAACTCGATCAACATGAGACCTAGCCCCACAGATAGGCCAATGATCATCCTGTAAAGAAAGGGTTACTGATAATTAACCTTGAATCCTAACTCCAGATTTTGAGAAAAAAATGTAAGTCTGCTGTTAAAAAAAGCATAATACATGTATACAGTTTTAAACTTGTAAAGTCTTTATGATTATTTAATTATAATAGATTTTATAAAACTTAATTTCATTAAAAAGCAAAATATTTTTTTTCCAATTCATTTTTTTTTCTTCAAAGAATACATGCAGTATAGTTTGACTTACAAGTACTCTAAGCAGTAAAGTTTGGCTTACTAAATAAACTGTAAAGTTTGACTTACTCTCATCAATAAATTTTTACTTATTCTCATCTGTAAAGGTTGGCTTAATTATTCCATCAGTAAAGTTTGACTTACTCTAATCAGTAAAGTTTGACTTACTCTAAGTCTGACTTACTCTAATCAGTAAAGTTTGACTTACTCTAAGTCCTTTGAGTCATACTCTGATTGTGTGTAGGTTGTTGGGAGGCACTGTTTGATGTTATCATCCTGAAATTATAGAGGGTTCTCATTAATAATATCAACTGGACTGAGGTGGTGGATTTTCAACTCTTATAAAGCTCTTGAACATTACTTCATTATGTACAAAAAGTTGCACCTTGTTGCAGTGATAATAATTTTATTCAACATTGAACTCTTCTGAAATCGATGTAATACTGTGTAAAAATCACTCATCAAATTGTACCTACTTGAGAGATTTTGTACTCATACATGTCATAATTCTGAAAGTTCTTAAAGATTTTGGTCTATTTTATTGAAAATTATCGCCGCATCAAAGTGTGATTTTCTGTATATCCTGAGAAAAACACTAATTTAAGAAAATAAGTTTGATTACAGAGCTAAATAAAGCTACTACTAGTTTATGACTGGTAATTTTAAATATATATTTGTCTATGTTATTCTTAGAGTTATTGTTTTTAATTTCGATTTGTATCACTGTATTGTATTGCTATATCTTGTTTGTTGTAAAGCACTCTTGAACATGTCCATGAAAAAAGTGCTATATAAATCTGGTAAAATAATAAAAAATAACAATACTACAGGTAGGTAAATAAAGCTATATAGCTAAATCAAGACAGTGATTGTTAATTTGTACCAGACTAGATATAACGTTCTATCGTTAAACAGGGATGTCAAAATTTTTGTTGCAATATTTCAATATTTCTTCATACTTATCGACCTCACACAGAATTGATATTATTGGTATCTCAGTATATCATCCCAGCCCTAGTTCTGACTGAAGTGAGGGATATATCTCGAGCCTCAATTACATTATTCTAACTCATACTAGACCTGTATCTGATATATGTATGAATAAGTTCAAATAACTTGTGACTTTGTCTATTTCTACATGTAACACTTTTGTGCAAAGTTGCATACATGTATAAGTATCTATACTGAAAGGAAGAAGAAACACATAAGAACATAATATGGGAAAAATTTTTGACTATGTGGCCGAAAATTATGAAAATTGGTCAGATGTGTATTTTGGTTTCTTTGCACTAAAATCGCTAGTCAAAACTACTCAACCATGAAATACGTAGGGGAAATGATAAAAATTCAGAAACACGTGCATGTTGATGATGATTATTTTGTGATAAAATTTTGTAGTGCCATACGATGCATTAGAGTTATAGACATCGTTTTTGCATATTTGCAGTCAGTATTAATTTCTTGCAATTGTGGTATGGCTGACTGAAACTACTGTGGGTTTAATACTGTAAATCACTTTTTATTCGCGAGAACTTTATTTTCGCGTAATTCGCGTAAAAAAAAAAAGAAGGTTTTTTTGGTTGTCAGAGAGTTAACTAAAACTGTTTCCAACCAACCATGACGGTGACGTTGGCGTGTAACAACGTCACAACATGATAGGGCTTTTCATCATGCCCCCTCGGTTATTGTCAAGGCATTATCACTGAAACTGATATTTATACAGCAGACATGCAGTCATACTCATTTTTTTCACCCAAATTGACAGAAACTCTCTGCTCTAATTTTGGCCGCGAGCTTGGGCACTTTACGTTGGTTTCACTCTCAAACGCGCACTTACGCGTCGTTTATGTGATTTTTTTAGCATGTTTACACTGAAAAAATGTAGCTAGTGATTGTCGAGGCTTTTTCACAAACATTCATGTGTACCAAACCTGCTGGGTTCTGTAAATTCTATCCTAAATCGAAAATTTGTTGGATTAGATTGGTCGGAGGGATTTGTTGGCTTTGGAATAATACAGCTAATCTCAGCCATTAAGACTACCATCGGAAGGGTTGAATAATTATGCTATGAAAAAGAAAAATGTTCTGGTGAAATCAATGCAGAGGAAAATCAAGTTTGTTACTGATGCGAAAGGGAGATTATGAGAATTTTCAGTTTTATTTTTGGGGGTGTTGACATATTGAAATCAGTATCTCAGGAATTTTCTGTCAAAATCACACAAAATTTTGGTAACTTGTTGATTAAAGATAAATTAAAATGTATGATAGCAATGCTGGAAAACACATTTGAAATAATTGTTTTAATTTAACTCATAAGTTTAATATGCGTTTCTTTATCCTTTCAGTATATATTAAGCTATTCTGAAAACTTAATAAAGCTATGTAGCTAAATCAAGCTATATACAACTATTTTTAGAAATAAAAAAAGATTGTGCTGGACATGACCTGTTATAACACACGTTTTAAGAAAATTTACAAAGCCAACGTAAACAAAATAAAAATACCTTTGCCCAGAAAAGTACAATGAGAATTATGACATGAGCAACGATGGTAAGGAATCTTGCAGGAACAACACCGCTTATCCGCATTGTTGTAGTTAAACAGGCAAAGAAATTACACGTTTAAAGTGTTAAATTACTTAATCCAGTCAATAGATAGTGAAACTAAATCTATGATTTTAAATCATGAAACGGAAAAATGAAATTTTTAACGGTAAAAACTACAGTGCATCACGGAAACATTATTAAAAACATTCTTTCAAACATAAACTTATTCTGTCTGTGCATGTTTGGCGGCCATTTATAAACAAAAAGTATTTTCCGGTTTTTGTCTTCCTGTTCCACATGCGCACTAACCCAGGCCACGTATTGTGGAACAACATTTATATTTTGGGAAGTCGAAGCCGGCTGAACGTCAAAAATGGTATATTAACCTGTTTTTTGTCATTGTTTTGTGATATATCTTAAACGATCATTTAATTTTCTTTTGTACATTCTACTTATAAGATAAGGCAGTGGATGTGAATGACAAAAGTATCATTGATGACCAAGCATGTTAGTTTTTCAAGGCAAAACAGTTGGTATCATTATTTAAAAAAAATATGCTCAGTATACCAGTAATGCAACGTTTATTGTATAATTTGGAATCTAAAGTGCTTAATCTGAGTTATAAATAATAGATTATAGAATGTACCTTAAGTAAGACACAGAATATCCTTATGCGACCAGTAGCTTTCTGGTACATAGAACAGTCAAACCAGAGAGCTACAGATCCAAGCATAGTAAAAACCTTTGATTTACGGAGATGCCTTCATATATTTCATATATTATTGGAATTTCTAAGCTTAAAATTCAAAATTGATCGGGGATGCCTGTTGGCCCAGTGGTAGATAGAATTGTAACGTTTTTCTCTCTGTGGGGTGTTTTGTTGTTACCCGCGTCACAAAACATTGTGGATCCCGTGTATAAGATAGGAACTTTAGATCTTAATAGATCTAACATCAGAACAACGACAAAGTTAGTTTCAACAAGAGTATTATTAATATCCAAACGTAGTTTACAATCCAGTACAAGCAATGTATATCAAGTATATCTGCTCACTAACTCTTTCTCCTTATATACCCTGCCTGACACCTAACGTGAATTAGGGCACCTTGTTAGGGCGTTAGGCTCCATCATTAGGGCACCTATTAGGGCGTTAGGCTCCATCATTAGGGCACCTGTTAGGGCAATCGGCTCCATCATTAGGGCACCCTGTTAGGGCAATCGGCTCCAGGTATTAGGGCCTATGCACCATAGTTACATGTAGGTGTCAAGACACAATATATTCATAGTATCTGATAAGCACCATATTAATTAGGACACTAATTAGGCTTCCAAGATAAGGGCGCTAATCAGGTACCATGGTTAGGACTTATCAGATAAACAAAATTCTTATCTCAGTTTTACTTTATAACAATAACATATTTTCATATAAAACAAAAACATTACATTGGTCCCTCCATTTGAAACATGACTTCCACTGTCATAAATTTTTAAAACATGAATATGAATCATACGTAAAATCACATTATGCAAATAAAAAAAAAGTGCCCATACACAAAAGCCAAATAAACAATAAAAAGACAAAAAGTAAAAGAACAAAATTATATTAAATAAAAATGTCACTAGATTAAATCAAAAGTTCATCACACTGGTAGCTTCACATTTGGATTTCCCTGGCCTTTTTTTCTTCAACATTTTCTTTTCACTTTTTTTTTAATATAGGCTTTTCCTCCCTAGGTTATAGGCCGTGTATGGTTGACTGACACCTGACCTGCGGCATCAGTCATCTTAGTTAATATAATTCCTTACAGTTCTCTTTTCAACACAGTTATGGTCTCGAGAACTGTTACTTGATAGAAATCCTCCTCTTTCTCTCTGGTTCCATGGGTTGTAAGGGCGTCCCCTCCTCCCTGGTCCTGTACTGGTACATGTACTTGCGGTTCTCATGTTTTTATAGATACTGTTGAATCCGTCACCCGCGCTTGGAGGTTTGGCAGTATCTGCAGCTGCTATTTCATTATTCCATTCCCCATCTTCAATCTCATACACAGGCTTATAGCCTGGTTTTGTCTCCTTTGGCAATTCTTTTTCCCCAATCCGCAAGCACTCTTCTTGCATTGCATTAAGAACTGCTTCTTGAAGTGTCCTAGGTCTGGTCCGTTTCACTGCGAGTCGAAAATCCTCAGATTGTCCACACTTATCTAAGAAGGACTGTATAGCATTTTCTTCAACTAAATCTGGATTTCCTGGATAGGCCCTTCGGTACAAATCTTCGATGGCCTGTCCTAAATCTCGCAGGGACTCGCCCGGTAGTCTTCTTCTCAATTTGGCGTCTGCAATATACCTTTCTTTCATTGCAGAATGCCCAAATCTTTGGTTCATCTTATCCTTAAGTTGCTCATAGTCTTTCTGTACAGTAAGGGGCATTCCATATGCATAGCTCTCGGCTTGTCTTCGCAAGGTGCTAAGCAAAACTCTGCGAGATTTCTCGGGTCCCCATGAGTTTAATTCTGAGATGTTTTCAAAATAGTGTAAAAACTCATCCCAAACATCATCATTGGCCCCTGAGAAGGTCCTCCTTACTGGATATTCGTTGGTTCGTTGACCAGCATTTGGTGTCATAGGACTGTTTTTAGGTGTCCCGTCAGCCATAGGAAATTCAAGATTGCACCCAAGTCCCTGAGGAGACTGATTGCCCAAATAAGGAGTAGCGCGTCCAGATTGCCCCAAAACCTTAGGTTCCTGATAGGTACCTTTAGGGGCGTTAGGTGCACTACCACCAGTATAGGGTGTATCACTGGGTATCAAAGAAATTTCCCTTTCCTTACTGGCATTTGGCAGACCGGATCCTCCATACCTCCATATTACTCTGATTACCGTAACAAGCAATAACATGCTCGTTATCACTACTAGAGAAATTACTGCATTTTCTTGAGATTCCTGCATGATCTCGTTTTCTGGAAAATAGATCCAGGTCATCACCATCAGGGAGCAATCAAAGCAAAGAGTACCCAAATAAATAGGATTCTCTTTAAGCTTGGCCTTGGATTGTACTCGTTTTGAACAGAAAGACCCTGTGAATTTTGCCCGAACTCCTGAAAGTTAGGATTGTCTGGCATTACTCGACTTGTGGGCTGCAAACTTGTTCTACACCCCGCATCGACCTCTATTCCAGAGTCATTCAGAGGAGCTGGACTGGTGAAGTACTGTCCTACCTTTCTAGGCGTAATTCTCCTCCTTACGATGGGTGTCTCCATTTCAAACTTTGTGTTGTCTCGTTCCTGTGTTACACGTAGAATAATTTCTATGGATCCCACCGCTGCCACCAATTGTAACGTTTTTCTCTCTATGGGGTGTTTTGTTGTTACCCGCGTCACAAAATATTGTGGATCCCGTGTATAAGATAGGAACTTTAGATCTTAATAGATCTAACATCAGAACAACGACAAAGTTAGTTTCAACAAGAGTATTATTAATATCCAAACGTAGTTTACAATCCAGTAGAAAGCAATGTATATCAAGTATATCTGCTCACTAACTCTTTCTCCTTATATACCCTGCCTGACACCTAACGTGAATTAGGGCACCTTGTTAGGGCGTTAGGCTCCATCATTAGGGCACCTATTAGGGCGTTAGGCTCCATCATTAGGGCACCTGTTAGGGCAATCGGCTCCATCATTAGGGCACCCTGTTAGGGCAATTGGCTCCAGGTATTAGGGCCTATGCACCATAGTTACATGTAGGTGTCAAGACACAATATATTCATAGTATCTGATAAGCACCATATTAATTAGGACACTAATTAGGCTTCCAAGATAAGGGCGCTAATCAGGTACCATGGTTAGGACTTATCAGATAAACAAAATTCTTATCTCAGTTTTACTTTATAACAATAACATATTTTCATATAAAACAAAAACATTACAGAATGTTCTATCATTGAAATGATAATTGTCCTATGGCCCCAGCTTAATGATAGAATTCATTACGTGTATTCTCAGTGTAGCAAAATAAACAGGGGCGATAACTCATATTCAGTGCATTTACTACAAACAATCCAGAGAATTCCGAATGTAAATATGGCAGGTAAATTTGAAGCAAGAAAAACTGTTGAGAAAATTAGTTGAATTTTCGTCTTTTTTTATGGATTATTTTTTTTTAATGAAAGGCATATACAATCTCAAAAAGGTTTGTTACAATTCATGCGAAAGTTATTTTCAGTGCAAATCATTTTGTATTCTTCAAAATCGTTTCGGACCAAATCTGCAATTATTTGCTGCATTGCGAGTATATGGGAGGTATTCAAACTGTGGTGAGGGCTTGTCCCAAAACACAGTTAGATTATTCTAACTAGACAAGTGGTTTCGGGAATTCTGCCTATTATAAATTTCTTTGGAATATCAGCTTTCGAAATTCACATTCCAATGTCCAGGGTTTTGTAAGAATAACTTGCTCCCAAAAAGTAAATAAAAGTATTAGGAATGCTGTTAAATTAAGGGAAAACTTTAAGCATATTATACATGTTATACAAGTTCTAAATAATACCCAAAATACCAAGTGTGATACAAATAAATATTTATTGAAGAATCCTGTCTATCAAGTTTTGATTACTTGGAAGAGAATATATTTTATAAGTTTATGCCATTGTTATGAAGTCTTAAATGTGGTATTTTAATTGCCATGTGACTTTCAGCCGCTCCGACTCGGTGTAAAACGAGTTCTTTCAGCACACTCGGATCGAGTCAAAAGCAGTGAACTGCATCCAAAGGAACCATGGATGCTTGCCAGTCTATTCAATGGGCAAGTTCATATTTGGAATATTGAATCACAGGTAAAAATGATTTCTATTTCCTTCTTTTCAGCCTCTTCGACTTGATATCAAACGAAAATTGTCGGCGCGATCTGACCGAGTTAAATGTGTTGACTTACACCCAAGTGAACCGTGGATGTTAGCTAGTTTATATAACGGAAATGTCCATGTCTGGAACCACGAGTCCCAGGTAACATCAAAGTATCACTGCATGCCCTCTCAAAGCTTGGAAATGCACGTGGTTATATGTGTAGTTAGGTTTTAAACAGAATGCATGTTGTAAAATTTGGTTTTGGGCAATATAGGTATGACATGTCAACATTTCTTGACAATACTTATGTAAATAAATAATCTGTAGCTTCTTATTGGTTTTGTTCAGATTTAAAAATAAATGCTTCAGTCAGTCAATTGCATGGCTTTCCTGCCCTAACCTGCTTTCAGTTGGTATTTTAGTTAGTACTTCTCCCAATATAATCCACACATATTCATCAATCCTATTAAGTAATATTTCATGTTACATTGCAAACTTAAATATATGAGATATATCCAGTTTTCATATTGAAATTTTAATTAATACATTAGCAGTTTCTCTGAAGTATGATTACTGAGAATATTCAAGGAAGTATTAGATACAAAAATTACCTTTGAGATATCATATGAAAAATTTCAGGTGAAATTGAATTTTAAATACTTAAACATTACTTTTATGAAAAATATTGTCAGGTCAAATGCTTTACTTTTGAAATCTTAAAAAATCTCACTATAAAAACTAAAGGTTTTATTGTTTTTTTTGTGGTTTTTTTTTACTGTATAGTACTCAGAGTAAGTTTGTTACATCTGTAAATTTTGTTGTACAAGACTTAAATTTACCCAAAATGAAAAAAAATCAAACAATCATTAAATTTGATGAGGTTCCAAAAGAAAAGAGACTTCATTACATTACGTGTAGTAAGTTTCCGCTTTTTGTCATCATATTGAAAAAGTTTGACTGTAATGGATGAAAATTGTGTTTATAAAGTCCTGAAAGTATCCTGCTTCAATGCCTTTAACCATAGCTTTCCTTTCCATTATGTAATTTTGGTAATTGGATTTCTTCAATTCTAATTTAAATCATGTAAATGCAATCGTTTTAATTTATATATTATTTTTTCATTTGCAGATCTATTCATCAACATGTTTGTTATCAGAATATTAATGACTGTATTTGATTTTTATTTCAGCAACTCATCAAATCATTTGAGGTGTGTGACCTCCCCGTCAGGAGTTCGAGATTTGTCCCTAGAAAGAACTGGGTCATAACAGGCTCGGTGAGTGAGTTTGCCTCTCATTAATATACCTATTGATATTTTTTACTGTTACAACTTACATGTACAATAATTCATTGACAAGTTACACTTTCAACCTTATAAAAATAGTACACTCAGTGACTGAATTCTTGTTTGTTCCCTGACAGGATGACATGCAGATTCGAGTGTTTAACTACAACACCCTGGAGCGAGTCCATCAGTTCGAGGCTCACTCGGACTACATTAGGAGTTTAGCTGTCCACCCCACACAGCCATTTATCCTCAGCAGCAGTGGTAGGTGCATTAACCTTTCCTTGAATTGAATGCATTAACACCAAATTAATAGGCTAGTACCGAGTTGTCAGGGATGTGCTAGGAGTTACCTTTACACATGTTATAGATGACAAGCCGGTTAAGCTCTCATTCATTAGGGATATATATGTGTGTGTGTGTGTTAGTAGTGAGTAGTGACCTGTACAGTTGTGTTTTACAGATGACATGCTGATTAAGCTGTGGGACTGGGAGAAGAAGTGGACCTGTACTCAAGTGTTTGAGGGACACTCTCATTACGTGATGCAGATTGTCATCAATCCCAAAGACAACAACACGTTCGCCAGCGCTTCCCTCGACAGAACAGTCAAGGTATCAATAATCACTCAGTGGTTAAGCTGCCTGATGTAGAACTTTGTTTATATGTAGATTGAAATCGGGCATAAGGTCATGAAAGCGTATGTCAGGCATGTGTCATTCAGGAATGAATGTGTACTTTTTGAAATTCAGATTGTTTTACTGTATTGACTAGTTCATGATCACTACCAAAATATAAATAAAACAATTACAAAGTTCTATCACTGTCCATCCCTTGCAGATGTATATATACAACATAAGCACTAATAATCATTCAAGATAATTTTAACATTAACCATGATTACTGCAGGCTAAATTTTGGATGGACTGAATACATTCAAGCGTAAATACATTGTACTGGTATAAGAGTCACAGAACAAATGGCAGAGTCAATTATTATTGTGAATAATTTTGTTTTTTTATCAGGTGGAAGAATTTAAATCTGAGATTTGTTCTTAAAGATATATATTGTTTTTACAAAAATTGTAAGATAGTTAATTAATTATGTTACAGGTGTGGCAACTTGGGTCTAACACTCCTAACTTCACATTAGAAGGTCATGAGAAGGGAGTGAACTGTGTAGACTACTATTCAGGGGGAGATAAGCCATACCTGATCTCAGGAGCTGATGACAGACTAATCAAAATATGGGACTACCAGGTAAAAAAATCATGGACAAAGTGACATACATAGAAACATCTTATTGGAGTTCTTCAGATATAGAAATCACCATCCAATAAGAGTTAGTGTAGGAATGTTTATGACCTGAAAATAATAAGTTTATTCCATTTATTTTTAGAACAAGACCTGTGTACAGACCCTGGAGGGACACGCTCAGAATATTTCTGCCGTAGCCTTCCACCCAGAGCTTCCCATCATAATGACAGGCTCAGAGGACGGTCAGTTTATCATAGTACTCACAAATCATGGTTCTACATACTGATTTAATAGGCAAATGCAATGCACAGTAACTGCAGCTATATATTTTGAAGAGAAAATTTAAGATACTTGTAGATATCATTATGATAAATCCCCTTCATTGGCTGTATGTGGGTGATTTATTTGTGGAGATACATGTTAGGCCTAGAAAAAAAATATGTTTGTTTCCGCTTTCCTGACCGACCCTAATTTATAGTGCCGACCCTAAATTTTTTTTTAATGGTTTTGTCCCATGAAGTGCAAGATTTCACCCAGGGAATTATATAATCTCCAGCTTTGCAAGCTTTTCAAGACAGAAAGAAGTTTGAGTCACCTTTCTATTATAAGTTTAAGTCACAGAAATGCTTGAAAACACCATTTCTTTTGTCATTAATGTTACTTCTATACGCGTTTTGATTAAAGAAGTAAAAAAATTTTTGTCAAAAAAAAAAAAAATTGCCTACCTACTAGGGATGTCAACGAATATTCGAATATTCGAATATTCATTCGATGAGTTGATATTCGAATATAAATTCATGATTCGAATATTCGGATTTTAAGTATACAAGCATCAAAAAGAAAAAAAAAATGGCAAAAACTGAAGTTTTATCAGAAATTGAATCAAATTCTCATCGTTGACCAATAATAAGATTTTATTTAAAACAAAATTAAAATACACTCCTCTTGGATTACCTTAAAGGTGTGAAGAATGTGTCTATTAAAATGATATAATTATTCATTTGGTCATTTAATTAGAGATATAACAGTGTCCAGTACTTATAATTAGTTTGTATTGTTGAAAGGACACATTTTTGTTTATGCATACATCATTTAAAATCATTATCAGGAAATTAATTAGCTAAAAGTAATTGCTTTTAATGTTTCTCCATTAGATAATTGTGCTGTGTGGTATAAATCTGTAGGGTTATCAGTGTACACTTTGGTAAGATGATTAATCAATCTGTAACTTATTAAAAGAATCTTTTGAATTTTCAGGGGGAAATTTTTTTATTACATTTTGGATATAAACTCTTCATATATTCTGAAAAATATTTTAAGAACATAATTAAAGTGCATTTACAAAACTCTACATGAAATTTTATTCCAAAATAATGACATAAAAAGTATATATTGCTTTACAAAAGAGTGAAGATATATACATATTATAATGCAAGATGTATAAAATTTATTTTATCGAATATTCGAATATATTCGAATACTACTACCGAATATTCGAATATCAATTATTGACAATTTTGACATCCCTACTACCTACCTACCTTAATTTTTTTCAGCCTGAAAGCGGAAACAAACATATTTTTTTTTATAGGCCTTACTGACATTTGATGTATGGGGGCGATTTATTTCTGGATTTTTTTCTATCAACAGGAACGGTAAGAATCTGGCACGCCAACACGTACAGACTGGAAAGTACCCTGAACTACGGACTAGAGAGAGTGTGGACCATCGCCGCTCAGAAGGGCTCCAATAACGTTGCTCTGGGGTATGACGAGGGCAGCATCATCATAAAGGTAATGGTCTGAATATACAGTGAAGATAGCACCCATGTTTTGTGTGGATTCTGATTAACCGTTGTCTGTTGTACTATATAGACACAAATTATAGAACATATTTTGTGATCATTGGCATGTCTATGAAATAAGTAGGATATTGTAAATCAGTAATGCTTAGTTAGAATGATATTGTAAATCAGTATTACACCATTAGAATAATATTATAAATCAGTAATGCTCTGTTAGAATGACCTTGTTAATCATTAACGCTGTTAACAGCTCGGGCGTGAGGAGCCAGCCATGTCTATGGACAGCAGTGGCAAGATAATCTGGGCCAAACATTCGGAGATCCAGCAGGCCAACATTAAAGCCATCGGGGACCAGGACGTCAAGGACGGTGAGAGGCTCCCCCTGGCAGTCAAGGACATGGGCAGTTGTGAAATCTACCCCCAGACCATTGCCCACAACCCTAACGGACGGTCAGTCAACGTCTCAGACAACAGAATAATGATTGTCTTCCGAGATTGTGTATGTCAAAGAATGCTGAACAAGCTGTGTCCTTACTTACTGTCAGAGTTACTAGTTACAAGACAATCAGGCTGATAGATTTCTTAACAATTGTTTATTCTGTTAGATGATTTTTACTTATCTTGTTATTTATTGTAAAAAAAATTGTTTTTATAATGCCAGAGATAACTTTTTCGCCCTATCTGTGCTGTATTAGAATTTCTTGACTTTCATATAACTTTTCTGCCCCTGAATTCACTACTGCCATGCTTTGTACCAGATGCTGTAAGGTTTTCCTTGACATCTACAGGTTTGTGGTGGTCTGTGGAGATGGAGAGTATATTATTTACACTGCCATGGCTTTAAGGAACAAAAGTTTTGGATCCGCCCAGGAGTTTGTCTGGAGTAGCGACTCGTCAGTCTATGCTACCAGGGAATCCACAAGCTCTGTCAAAATCTTCAAAAACTTCAAAGAACAGAAATCATTCAAGCCAGAATTTGGGGCTGAAGGTAAAATTGTTGTACAATCTAGAGTGTACATAAGTATTATAAAATGGAAAGCTGTTCTTTAAATCGGAATATGTTCAGCATTAGAAGAAGTATACCTTATACATGTATATCTTTAATTCATTGATAGAGTCTTGAATGGAAAAGTTCCTGATGCATAGACTAAAATGATAGTATAGACTTTCCTACATAACTGTGAGTGTATTGTATTTATTCCTTTGTTCATTATTTGACAGGTATCTATGGAGGATTTTTGTTAGGTACGAGGTCCGTGAGTGGACTAGCATTCTATGACTGGGAAACAACAGAACTCATCAGAAGAATAGAAATCACACCCAAAAATGTAAGATCTCGTTTATAGTATATTCTTACCATTTGCATGGAACTATTCTTAAACTTTTTACTTATGTAGTTTTTCATGCAACATTTAAAAATTTTAAGGCTAAAGCTAGGGACTTCTCAGAATTTTTAGACCAGAATGATATAACTCATAAGAAATGTGGATCACTTTTATGTGATGATGGGGGATGGAGCGTAGTGTAACCACTGAATTGACCTGTGGAGTTCTCTATTATTTATAGGTATACTGGAGTGAGAATGGTGAGCTGTGCTGTATCACAACAGATGAGTCGTTCTTCGTCCTGAAGTATGACGGTGAAGCCGTAGAAAAGGCCAAGGAAAACAAGGAGGAGATAGGGGAGGACGGAATTGAGGAGGCCTTCGATGTTGTGGGGGAGATTGAGGAGACGGTAAAAACGGGGGTCTGGGTGGGGGACTGCTTCATCTACACCAATAGTGTCAACCGCCTCAACTACTACGTGGGAGGAGAAATAGTCACCATAGCTCACCTGGACAGGTAAGGCATGGATATAGCTGGACTTAGATGAACTTGTACTGCTGTAAAAATTCATATTACTAGACTCATTTTCATTCATTTGAATTTTCAGATTGATATACCAAATTCACTAATTGTTTTGATAGGAGATTATTCACATTTTTGTCTGATTGACAGATTAATGTATTTACTGGGATACATTCCGAAGGACAATCGTTTGTATCTGGGTGACAAAGAGCTGAACATCGTCAGTTTCTCTCTACTGGTCTCGGTGCTGGAGTACCAGACAGCTGTAATGAGGAGGGACTTTGAAACAGCTGATAAAATATTACCTCTGATTCCAAGAGAACACAGATCAAGGGTCGCACATTTCCTTGAAAAACAGGTATCAAGAATTTAAACGTTAACTTTTTTATTCATCAAATATCTGCATAATTCTATGATTTTTGTGATCATGAGTTAGTTCTCAGTCTAGATCTTATTTGTTATAGATCTGTAAAAGCCTGCAATATATTAATCTTTTTGTAGGGATTTAAATCACAAGCTCTGGCCGTGACATGTGACCCTGAACACAAATTTGAGTTGGCATTACAGCTGGGAGATCTGAAAATCTGTTACCAGATCGCTAAGGAAGCAGAGGTCAGCTCAAGAGATTTAAAAATTGTTTTTAAAAACTCTTGTAATTTACTATATAGATGATCAAGTAACTTTTGAATCCAAATACCTAAAGCTATTTAGGTTATTTCATATTTTAAGGATAAATAAATGTTGTTCCTTATTTTGAGGATAAAAAATGTATGATGATAACATTAAGAAAAATTGAGCATATGATTGAATTTTATTTGAATATATATGCAATTAAGAGTCAAGAATTTTAGAGAATTTGTTGAACGGGGATAATCCTTGGAAGGATACCAAGTAAATTATTTAAGATATTGTTACAGGTTGTTATTTTGTTTTTCACAGTCAGAACAGAAGTGGAAGCAGCTGGCTGAACTGGCGATCAGTAAGTGTGAGTTTGGTCTGGCTCAGGAGTGTCTCCATCAGGCTAACGACTTTGGGGGCCTCCTGCTTCTGGCCAGCTCAGCGGGGAACGCCCAGATGGTGGCCAAACTCGGGGACACCGCCCAGAAAGCCGGCCAGAACAACGTCGCCTTCATCTCACACTTTGTCTTAGGAAGGTCAGGCACACAGTACTTATTTATCTCCCTGTTGTTGATTTATAATAACCACTCCTTGTTGATTTATAAAGACCACTCCCTATTGTTGATTTATAATGACATCTCCATGTTTTAGGTTGGAGGAAAGTCTAGAGGTGTTGATCAGCACAGGCCGACTTCCTGAAGCTGCCTTTTTTGCCAGAACCTACCTACCTAGTCAAGTCTCCAGGTAAAATGTTATAAACTGTCATTTGTACCTTTATAAAATATTGGGGAAATACAGAATCTAAGAAATGTGGTAAGGGTGAAATTTATATCAAAGGAAATTATTAGACACTTGTGAATACAATCTCATTAAAAAAAAATTTCAAATAAATAAATGATGTGAACAGTTTTTACTTCTTTAGAATAGATATTTTTCCTTCAAATTTGTGTATTTGGAAATTGTTTATGGAGTTCAAAAATAAAAAAAAATCCATATTCACTTTGATTGTTCTTGGCTTGAGTTCCTTTTAAGTGTTTTCTCATAAATTTCAGATTATCACTTTTTGACTCTTTTTCCTGTTTACACAGAGTTGTAGATTTATGGAGAGAACACTTAAGTAAGGTGAACAAAAAAGCTGCTAACTCACTAGCAGATCCCAAGGAGTACGAGAACTTGTTTCCAGACTGGAAGGACGCGCTAAAAACCGAGGCTTATCTCAAACCCCAGAGGCAACGTGCAATCCCCGCAGACAAATTCCCCCGTGTCCCAGTAAGTTCAAGGTTAAATCTGGCCCCAAGACCAGTAACTGAGAACAGATTTAAATTAAAATTCATATTTGAAGATCAATAATATATTTAACAAACATGCATGTTATCCAGTTAAGTTAATAATAGAATTGTCTTTATCTATTTGCAGCCAAACCATGAGAGGACACCAGTAGAGGAGATGAAGCAGGCAGAGGAGCACCAGGATAATATACGGCCCCATGAAAAATGGAAGAATTGGAGTTCAAGCCCCAGAGACCACACAACAAAGTGTCAAGGTAAAGTCTAGAGACCACACAACAGAGTGTCAAGGTAAAGTCTAGAGACCAAACAGGAAAGTGTCATTCTTCAACAAAGTGTCTGAAGTACGACCACACAACAAAGTGTCAAGGTAAAGTCTAGAGACACACCACAGAGTGTCAAGGTAAAGTCTAGAGACCAAACAGGAAAGTGTAAAGGTAAAGCCTAGAGACCACACAACAGTGTGTCAAGGTAAAGTCTAGAGACCACCCAACAGAGTGTCAAGATAAAGTCTAGAGACCACACAACAGAGTGTCAGGGTCTAGAGACCACACAAGAGAGTGTCAAGGTAAAGTCTAGAGACCATAGCTCAGAGTGGACAGGTAAGTCTAGAGACCATAGCAGGTGACTTAGATGTATATGACCACACAACAAATGTCAAGGTTACCATGGCTCCTTCTTATTCATTTGATTGTGCAGATTGATATACCAAATTCACTGACTGTTGTGGTAGGAGATTATACACATTTTTTGCTCTCTTTGACAGATTGAAATATTGCTGGGATATCCGTCAAAGGACATTGTGACGTTGTATCTGGTTGACAATGTGTCATTGTTACGTCGATATTTTCTCTCCATGGTTAACGGTGCTGGAGTACAAAGACCCAGCTGTAAGAGCGCATTGACTTTGAAACAGCTGATAAAATGTAATCCCCTGATTCCTACCTTGACAAGGAACACAGGGGACCAGGCTAGTCACATTTCCTTGACCACAAACAGGTATAAAGAATTTAAATGTTTTTAACTTTTTTATTTATCAAATATCATACATGATTCTATGATTTTAGTGACCACACAGCAAAGTTCTAAAGTCTAGAGACCACATCTTATTTGTTATAGATCTAGTAGACCACACCTGCAATGTATTAGAGACCACACATCTTTTTGTAGGGTTTTAGAGACCACACAACAGAGTGTCAAGGTAAAGTCTAGAGACCACACAACAGAGTGTCAAGGTAAAGTCTAGAGACCACACAACAGAGTGTCAAGGTAAAGTCTAGAGACCACACAACAGATTTAAAATTTGTTTTAGAACCACACACAGAGTGTTATAGATCAGAACCACACAACAGAGTGTCAAATGAAATAAGCACATTAAGAGTGTATTCCATAGTTTTGAGACCACAAAAAAGTGTTTTTTTTTGAGAACACCCAATAAAGTGTAAAGAAATTGTATGGCCATAAAACTTAGAAAAATTAACTTATGATTGTACTTTTTTGAAGGGAATTAATAGTAGAAAAGTGAGACAAGATCAAAAGTGGGCCCGTCCTAGTTTTATGGTCGTCAGGCCTGATACCACAAAATAAATGTTGAGGGAAAGCCAGAAACCACATTATTAAATGTCAAGTCAAGTCAGAACCACGCTACATAGTGTCAAGAGTAAAGTTGAAAACCACACAACAAAGTATTAAAGTTGGAAAGAACACAATAAAGTATCATCATAAAGTACTTGTCACTTTTTAAATTGAAATATAGCTTAAAGCGGCAATACGGCTGCAAATCGTGTGCTTTTTCATTCAAATTTACCCAATATATCGGCCAGGAATAAGGTAAAAAGTTCATCTCACACTTTGAGAAAGGTCAGGCACATATTCTCTTATGTAAAATTTCCGTAATTAAGTCCTTATTTATTTCCCTATTATTGATTTATAATGTACCACTGAATTTATAATGCACGTCATACAATGTTTTACAATTAAAATGGAATATTAGAGGTGTTGAAATCAGCACAGGCAAAATTCCTGAAGCTGCCTATATTTATAATTGTTAACATACCTAGTCTGCATTCAGCGAATTTAAAATGATTATACAAATGTGACATTTTGTGTATTTCATAAAATACTCCAGGAAGTACAGAATCGGCAAAATGTGAAAATAAAAATACAGGTATGATGTGAAAATTTTTTACTTCTTTAGAACAAATATTTTTCCTTCAAAGTTGTATCTATTGGAAATGTTTATAGAGTTTAAAGATAAAAAAGAAAAAAATCCATAATCACTCTTGTTGTTCTTTGCTTGAGTTCCTTTGAAGTGTTCTCATAAATTGAAGAAAAAAAACAGAATGAACATGTTCGCTTTTTAATTTCATTTAATTTTAATTTCCTATTTTTGGTTTTGTTTTTCGTTTTACACAGAGTTGTAGAGTTATGGCGGGCTTCCCTCTCTTACAAATGAATGCTGTTTTGAACATGAAAGCTGCTAACTCACTGGCAGTGAGAGAGCATGGAATGTTCCCAGACTGGAACACGTTGCGATGTATATAACTGAGGCCATAAATAATTATTAACCCCAGAAATAATCCCCGCAGATTATTCCCCCGTGTCCCATGAAATTTGTAATTTTCTGGCCACAAGACCAGTATCTGAGAACAGATTTAAATCAAAATTCATATTGGAATGTCTAGAATCAATTTAACAAACATGCATGTTATTCGGTTATGTTAATTATCAAGAAATACATGTATATCTATTTGCAGCCTAACCACGAGAGGACACCAGTAGAGGAGATGAAGCAGGCAGAGGAGCAGGGGTCATTCACATTTGTCCACGGCCCCGGGGACGAGGAGGAAGAGGAAGAATTCGAACAAGCCCCAGAAACCTCACAACAGAGTGTAAAGGTAAAGTCTAGAGACCACACAACAAAGTGTCAATGAAAAATCTAGAGACCACACTACAATGTTGTCAAGGTAAAGTCTAGAGACCACACAACAAAGTGTTAAGTTAAAGTCTAGAGAACACCCAACAAAGTGTAAAGGTAAAGTCTAAGCCCTGTGGCCATAAAACTTAGATTTTTTAGATTTAACCCTTTAGATGTCAGTATCATTTATTGAACGGAATTGATAAATTTGTCAACAAAGTAAACTTTAAAAAAAAAATAAAAGAAAAGTTTATAGTTTTATGGCCATCAATGCCTAATACCACACAAAAAAAGTCGAGGCAAAGCCAGAAACCACATTATTAGAATTCAAGTCAGAACCACACTACATAGTGTCAAGAGTAAAGTTGAAAACCACACAACAAAGTATTAAAGTTGGAAAGAACACAATAAAGTATCATCATAAAGTAGTCACTTTTTAAATTGAAATTTAGCTTAATAGCTCTTATATTGAATTTTAATCAATTATTTTTCATTTTAAACAAAAAATCTCTGAAAAATTAAAATGCCTATTGGATTTAATTTACAAAATTGTGTAGTTCATTAAAGACATCTGCGGCCCCACCATTTAAGAAACATCACATAAAACAGAAATGGACGACCTAGAGAAAGTCTGTAGCCAAGTTAGATTACCAAAAAAATTGACAACGTAGACACTTCAGTAAGTTAAGAATTTCAATGCTTCATTAAGCCTCAGTAGATAATTCCACACTGTATATATCACCTTGACCTAGTTATATAGCCTTGACCTTATCTATATCTGTGCCTTGTAGGACCCCACTGGAGACCAGGTAATTTAGAACATTCTGATGACATGTTGGTTGTAGATTTTTAGCATGTTGCCACCCTTTTTGTCAGTTATTGATTAAATGGAACAAATAAATTTGAAGTTTTCTTGTAAACAAAGTAAACTTTTCAAAAAAAAAAAAAATTCGAAAAAAGAGTATTAGTCTCCAAAAGGAAACATTCTAAAAAATTCCACATCACACTCATGGCATGGGGATTCCTACCTGATCTGTTATAACATGTCCTATCCTTAACAAATTAACAGTCAGCTGGATGGAATACCTTCACAGAAAATATTGCTTGTTTTGCCACGGATATTGGAAAACAAATTGACATATATCTAGTAGAGTAGAAATCATTAATGTTAATACTATAATCTCACAAAAATACAACATCAGGCAAAGATTGAACATTGTATTGGGTGTCTTAATTTAAACCTTCCAGTTTTAATTTTGAACCAGAATCTGAGGTGTTACAGGATCTTGTTTTTTTTTTTAATATAAATTAAGGATTATTTAACTTGAACCATTTCTAGAAAATAATGCAACGTAAACTGGCTATTACAATACATGTACACATATGTACCATATTTGAAGAAAGAATCCAGTCTAAACGAAATTATTTGTAGGTAGCTCTTTAATGATACAGATAGTCTCAAATAGCCAGTTAAAGATGAAAACAGTAAAGAATTTGATATAAATAAAATATTTTAACAATTGATTTTTTTCCCTCAGGACATAAATTTGGATGAAGACTTACTAGAAGATTGAAATACAGAACTAAGGACGATTTTATCTTGAGGACAAAATTATTCATTTATCTGCTTTGTAGATAAATGTTGGCATTTCTTCCATCTCAAAAAAAAGAAATGAACTTTCACCAAGATAAGATTTAGTCTGTTATATGTCATTTTGTATCATTTTGTTTACATTGAACACTTGTTATACTTTGAGAGTATTTGAGGAGAGAGTTCATCGGAAGATAATCACCTTCAAGGATGAAATATTGTACATTTTATTTAAATATGGTGTTTTGTTTAACGTTATATATAGGGAAGTGCTTGAATGTAATAAATATATTTATTTCAAAGTATGATCTTTGAAATTAAAAATGATGAAAATATCAAAATTGATATTCTTTCTATTTTTTATGCTTTTTATTTGAAACATTGTACATGAACATAATTATTGTAAGGAGATACTTACATAAAGTAATAATAACACATATTGAAATTTAAGATTATTTACAGAACTACTTTATGAAAAAAGAATATATTTGTAAAACACTGTTTTTGATGAACACAATTTACAAACTACAAAGACCAACTGATAAATAGAAAATAAAAAAAATTTAGATTGTCATCGGTAAGACCCAATTTTTTTACCGTACGGTTACCTGAGGAGGGGGAGTGGTCGAAGTAACAATGGTGTTATTTACCTGGAGACCCCCAATACCCAAGATGTCAAAAATCTGTGTATACGTAGCATTACACAGGAAGTCTGTTGTGTTTGGTAATCAGGGTCATCATTACGTGTTTTGTGTCTGGTTTTGAGTGAAACTACGCAAAATAATTATTTTAATATGAAATTTATTTGTAAACTAAACTCATTCATCGTAACCATGGTAATGGATAAATATGGTCAAATTTATGTTTTAATTGACCATATATATCTTAATTACATTTTTTGCCTATAATATAAATGTTTTATTGTCCCCTGCTTTCGCGAAAGCGAGGGGACATTAAATCTCATTCGTCTGTCAGTCAGTCTGTCTGTCCGTCACAAAAACTTTAACCTTGCTCATAATTTTTGATTTAGTGGAGCTATGACTTTCATATTTCACAAGTGTATTCCTAGTGACAAGACCTTTCTTTGGGTACCACCAAATTTGATCTTTTGACCTTGACCTTGGAGTTTGACCTACTTCTACACAAATATTCCAAACTTTTACTTTAGTCATAACTTTTGAACGGTTGACACTAGGGCTTTCATATTTCAAAAATGTATTCTTTGTGGCAAGACCTCTCATTGGATACCAACAACTTTGACCTTTTGACCTTGACCTTGGAGATTTCCATACTTATGAAAAAACTTTAACCTTGTCCATAACTTTTGAATGGTAAAGGCTAGGGTTTTCATACTTCACGTATGTAATCATGGTGAGGAGACCTTTCATTGGATACCAAGAACTTTGACTCTTTGACCTTGACCTTGGAGTTTGACCTACTTTTAAAAAAACTTTAACCTTGGCCATAACTTTTGAACGGTTCGAGCAAGGGCTTTCATACTTCAAGTATGTAATACTTCTGGCAAGACTTTTCTTTAGCAAAAACTACAAATATTATAATCTATTTTGTCATACGGGATCATCAGGTTCACTTCCTTATAACTTTTGATTGAGAAGAGATAGGGCTTTCATATCTGACATGTGCATTACCTTTGACACAATATGTCATAAAAAATGACATCCCACCCACAAAGACACCGAAAGCGGGGGACCACAATTCTTTGAATTTGCTTGTTTCATATAATATAAAATATTGATTCAATTTTATGAAATAATTCGCTGAAAACGTTGACCTGATAACTTTTGAATGACCTGATAAAATAATAAGATACATGTATATCGTTTAAGAAAATGTTTTCCTTACTTAAAAGATTTAAATCTTCAATAAAAGAAATCACTTGATTAAAAAAATTTGAATATTGAAATAAAAAAATTATTAATCCACCTATCCGTCGTGCATGTGAACATGCATTAATTACCACGATCGGAATGATTTTTTTTCCCTGGCCAACAATGTTGTCCAAAATATTCCATATTTATTCTTCGTGTGTTAACAAAATTTTATTGTAAGAAAGATTTCTTTTCAGAATCGATCACTATTAATTATCTTCACATTTTTATTACGTAAAATACAGATGCTAGAGGAAATTCGAGCATCAATTCTAACATCAATTTCTGTACAACATCGTGCGGATTGTAACCATAGTACAAAAAAACATCCCTTAAAAACTATGCTCTGCCGTTTATTAGTGATGAATATTTTTCTTATATCTCATTTCTTAAAAAAATAAATTAAATCGTCGGACTTCCAATTACGGCAAATAGAGCCGGTGTAAAGACGAATAATGACCCCCATCGAATAATGGCCGGGGGTCATATTTCGACAGCGAAAAATGACCCCCGGTCATTATTCGACGTAGAAAAATGACCCTTTTGCCCGTAGAAAAAGTGTCACTTCCCTAAAAATTTGCAGAACCCACGTGAAGAAAAATGACCCCCGTAGAAAAATGACCCCCTGTAGATTAAAGCTAAAATTTTTAGGGGGCAAAAAAAAAAAAAAAAAAAAAAAAATTGGATAAAGAAGCATATTGGCCAAAATGCTCACCTGAGCTTATTGGGAATAAACTGATGATATGTTGATCTCATAACATTATACAATTATAGCTATATTTTAAGGTAAATGCAATGATTCAGAATCAAAAGGAGTAAAAGATTTATCAAGCCTTAAGGGTTAGGAAAACATTGTTTTTTGATGGTGGAAATCATCGAACTGACAGAAAAAATCAGCAGTATGATATATTATTATATCCTCCGCTTGAAAAGCGGGAGGGTATATAGTGATCGGGATGTGCGTCCGTCCGTTACGCTTTGAGGTATCCATCTCTAAGTATCCGCAAATCCTCATATATAAAAAGATGTGTTTGTGAAACAGCTATGCCCCTGTATGGCAACATAGCGAAGATTAAACTTTTCTTAAATGCAATTTAAATATATTGTTACCCAAAGTAGGGTCTTCTCACAAGAAATACAACTGCAAAATAGGAAAGCCCTAGCACTACTTGTTCAAAAGTAATGGCTAAGGATAAGTTTTTGAAAGGTAGGTCAAACTCAAAGGTCAAACTTGATGATTTCTTAAGAAAATGTTTAATGTAACAAGGATTACATATGTGAAGTATGAATACCCTAGCCCTTACCGTTCAAAAGTTATGGCCAAGGTAAAAAAAAAAATCATAAGTACGGAAAACTCCAAGGTCAAAAGGTCGAGGTTTTTAGTATCCAATGAAAGGTAATGCCAAAAAACTACATATTTGAAGTATGATAGTACTAGTATCTACAGTTTAAAAGTTATGGCCAAAGTAAAAATTTGGCATTTTTGTGTAAAATGGGACAAACTCCAAGGTTAAGGTCAAAAGGTGAAAAAAGGTGACCCAAAGTAAGGTCTTGTCACAAGGAGTATACACATTAAATATGAAAGTCATAGCTCCAATAAATGAAAAGTTATGGTAAAGGTTAAGGTTTTTGTGGACAAACAAACCGCCAGATAGACAGAGGGACATACAGACGAACACGATAAAACTATATACCCCCGAATCTTCGATTACAGGGACATAAAAAGAAATGGTCTTCAATTAACTTTTCATATTGATATACATTATAAAGAAGACCTTACAACAATGAAAATGTTTGTTCTGATTTTCATATTAAATTCTCTGAAAAATATACTCAGAACTGAGTAAAAGGGTGGAGTAAAACAAGAATTAAGGTAGAACCTATGTCGGCAAAGTCTTTGTCACAAGATTTTCAAACTTTTCAAAATGGTACCAGGTAAATTAGTACTTGCTTATCAATCAGTTAAGATATCATGATATGTTTCCTAGTTTTTTTTAATCTAGAACAGGCTGTGAAACTTGGTATGGTATTTACATACTGCGACTTCACATTTTCAAATATTTTTAGGGGTACTTGTCATAAAGGGAATATGAAAAATCACAAAAATACTTCTTCAAACATCGTCGTTTATAAACTTTTTTAACTGAATAATATTAAACAATATTTTATCAAGAATAATATTCTTTTTTATTCAATTAACATAAAAGATAAGTCCACCATTAAAAAAATAGTCAAATGAACTCTATTATTTTTAGTCAATTATGCACCCTATATTTGTAAATATTTTTTAGATGTCTTTGTCACAATGTTTTCAATCTTCAATATGATGAAGAACATAAACAATTACAAAAAAATGATTAAAATATATACCTTTCCCCTCTAACTAATGAAAGATAGGCTATTTACCAATACTCATATTCTTGACCTTTTTGCACTTACACGGGATTTAATAAATTTAAAAATGACTGTTTGGGGTTACTTTCAGATTAAATATTTATCAGAAATTGTACTTTTTCTTTAAAAAGATCATATTTAATAGAAAAATTGTAATCAAACACCAAGAATATGAATAGGTAACAAATAATTGTTAAAAGGAATGCACATCATTTCATTATAGATATCACAAAAATGTACACATGATCAAACGATCTACAACACGTACATCTTTGACTTAGACACATTTTATCAAGATATTACACTATATAGCTGGCAACTAAAGATTTCTTACGATTTATGCATTCCTTCAAAATGGTTACATACCATTCAAACTATTACGAAAGTTGTATGTACATTGTAATTTCATTACACTAGATAGTCTTGGGTTTGTCAACATCAGGTCTAGATCTAGTAAATAAAAGGTGCCTACATATTTTCTCTTATTCCAGAAATATATTGCCATTAAGCATTATAAGACAAAAAATATATGAATTGAATCAAGATTATGTTGGCATGATTGTATTCTGTGAATTTCAAAATGCAGTATTTTCTACCATTTTTATTGAAGCTGTCAAGTACGGGAAAAAGTGGCATTAACGAGGCCCGATCTAGTTGAAAATTACGAAAACGGAATGATAAAAAAATTTAATATTTGGAAATATTTTTGTATGTATTATGCTAAGAAAAATTAGAATGAAATTTTATAACCTTGCCTTTATTGTAGTCAAATGGGGGCACTGTCAAGATATGATCATTTTTTGTGTTTTATACACAATAACATAGTAAAACCCTCCAATAAACAAAGAAATTAAAAATTTTAAAAAAATACAGGATGAAAATTTTTGTTTTTCACATATATCATGCAATTTTCATTCTTCTCATAAAAAATGAAAAGAAAATTGAAGGTAGTCTTTACTGCAGTGAAGAGGGGGCATATCGAAACACAAAATTAGCACTTATTTTATCCAACTAAACATGAAATAAATCGCCATGGGTGTACATAACATCAGCAAACG